AATAAATATTTCAATGTTGCATACTTTAAAAAGTGAAAAATTTCAAACTTTCTTCATTATAGTGCTAATATTTTATTATGTGACTCTTAATTATCATTGACTTTTCATATTTTATTATCTTTATTCAGTTCAATAACTGACCGAAAAACATTTAATTGGAATTTTTTTTTTCTTCTCATAATTATTGCAAGTGATATTTATGTATGTGACAAGGATGCATTATACATAAGGCGACAACAAAGGATTACCTTAGTGACTTTAGCCTGTATAATCATATAACAGCATAATTCACTCAATATATTGTGATACAAAATTTTATACAAATATTTAATTATAAGCATATGTTTTTCTTTTATATAATTATTAATAATTTCATCAAGTATATTGTGTATATATATCATGCGAGGACGCATGAATTTTTCAGGATGGGGGCATTTATCACCGAATAGTGATACTAAATTCTACTTCTTTTTCAAATTTTATTTAAAGGATATACAGAATTTATTTCTTAAAGTATATAGACAATATAGCTAATAGTAAGGTTATCATTTGGTCTTTCTTTACTTTTAGTGTTAATATTTTGATTTAAAGTCTATAAAAAGTAATTGCCTAAATGCATGATTGGCTTTGACTGTTTTATAATCTTTGGATGCCAGTGGGCTTATTAAGAGAAACCTTGAGCAAAGATTTATACAGTTAACAATGCAGTCTGATCAATGCCAATCAAGTGTCAATGCTTTTTAATTCTTTATGGCTTAAAGCTTATTAGATCCTATAAATTATATTTCACTATGAAACTTTCAACCAATGAAATTTATATATTTATTTAACTTCTTTTCATTTGATGTGTTACAATATTTTTATCTTTAATTTGATTTGTTGAAATCATTGTCCTTTGTCTGTATACAAATTAGTTACTTTAAAAGACCTCGACACACAGACAAGAGGGCAGATGAAATTAGAGACACACAGACAAGAGGGCAGATGAAATTAGAGACACACAGACAAGGAGATCGAATGCCTTGTATATAATTTGTAAATAATGTATTTTTAAAACTGTATATAAAGTAATATTGAAATGAATTTGGAATTGGACTTTTAATGAACAGTGACCGCCTTCACCAGAATACTTCTCCAGTAATGAGCTATACACCCCCAATCCTAGCTCATCCATATGTATGAAATATTACATATGTACATATGTATCACCTGGGTGCATATTCGAACCAGAATAGTCCACAAACACGCTGGTGATAAAAATAACAACCTAGTAGGTTTCCACTATTTATTCTGGATTTGCTGAAGTCGTTGAATTTGTTGCCTGGAGGTTTCTATAAAAAGACTGTTGACGTAGTCCAGTCTAGAAAAAGATAGGTTGCCAGGCAACGAAACATACGCCCACAGCAGCTAAATTGTCCGGGCAGTCAACAAGAGTTGTCGCATATTTTTACTTTTTTCGGTAATGAAACATTTATAATACATTAAAATCTGATTAAGAGTAACAACTCATTAAGTAATTGTCAGAAAACAATTAGAATTTGTTTCGTTTTTATAAACTTCTGCCCCATGCTAACGAAACTTTTAACATCATGGATTTAGCTGTTCACGTCATAAAAATTCAATGAAAATTAATATGATAACTTTAGCCTGTAGAGGGGCTATATACTATATACCGCAAAACAACCGGAAAACACCATGTTATACTGAATATCGGAAAACACCGGAAAAACACTAAATATCGGAAAACATACTAAATACCGGAAAACACCCTAAATAGGTAATTCGGAGCCTGGTTCTCTGGAAAACACCGGAAAAACCTAACCCTAACCCACTGCTGGTCCTCTGGAAAACACCTGAAAAACCTAACCCTAACCCTAACTCCCCGCAAACAGAGAACCAGGCTCTGGGTTACATATTTAGGGTGTTTTCCGGTATTTAGTGTGTTTTCCGGTATTTAGTGTTTTTCCTGTGTTTTCCGGTATTTAGTGTTTTTCCTGTGTTTTCCGGTATTTAGTGTTTTTCCTGTGTTTTCCGGTATTCAGTATAACATGGTGTTTTCCGATTGTTTTCCGGTATATAGTATTACCGCCTCTAGAGCGTCCCAAGATTTTTAAAAGTGATCAAGGGCCATAACTTTGGCAGTAATTATCGGAAATCGTTGAAAATCAATATGATTCTTCGTCTCATGACCTCAAAAACTGTGTATAAAGTCAATCGGATATTAACTTTAGCCTCTAGAGCATTTACAAGATTTTTTGAAGTGATCAAGGGCCATAACTCTGGCAGTAATTATCGAAAATCGCTAAAAAAAAAAATAGACTTCTTCGTCTCATGACCTTTAACAATGTGTGTAAATTTAAAGTCAATCGGACATTAAGTTTAGCCTCTAGAGCGTCCACAAATTTTTCAAAGTGATCAAGGACCATAACTCTAGCAGTCATCGGAAATCGCTGAAAATCAATAGGCTTCTTCGTCTCATGACCTTAAACACTGTGTATAAATTGAAAGTCAATCGGATATTAACTTTAGCCTCTAGAGCGTCCACAAATTTTTCAAAGGGATCAAGGGCCATAACTCTGCTGGCAGTAATTATCGGAAATCGCTGAAAATCAATAGGCTTCTTCGTCTCATGACCTTAAACACTGTGTATAAATTGAAAGTCAATCGGATATTAACTTTAGCCTCTAGAGCGTCCACAAATTTTTCAAAGGGATCATGGGCCATAACTCTGACTGGCAGTAATTATCGGAAATCGCTGAAAATCAATAGGCTTCTTCGTCTCATGACCTTAAACACTGTGTATAAATTTAAAGTCAATCGGATATTCACTTTAGCCTATAGACGGACAGACGGGGGCGACGACAGTATACGACCACTTTCAATGTGGGCGTATAAAAATGAAATGAAATGGGGTTTAACGTCCTACTGTTCTTCTCCTATACTGGGCTAATGAATACGGGCATACGCCATACAGTGTGCTATGAGGTAAATTTTGCCCGGGCAGCGGCGCTACGGCCTAATTTATATCGAATTCCAACTGCCATGGGATCTTTTATGTGCACGCCATCCGAACGACTAGACAGCTGTCCTTGTCAGGCCCTCCATCCTGCATCACTGACAAGGGGAAACCAAGCCGGAAAATCGAGATGAACTTTCCCAATGCAGGGATCGAACACCCGACCTCCAGGCTAGCGAGCTAGCGTCTTACCCAATTAGCCAACGTGATTCCCGTCCAATCTAGAAATCACCATACACCGAACAAGTGTGACAGCTGCATAGTGATAAACGTTAACTCGACACTAACATACGATTCAAATTTTATTTCAATAATTCGCTTGCGCTTTGGGGTATTTAGCTGTAGAAGGAAACCCTACTCTGTCACGTACAGGCGTGGAATCGAAACCACGCAACCTGACTCAATGACAGGCCTTATATGATCTAAAACAAAAGTAGACGTGACCTCGAGGTCATGTCATCTGTGTTAGTTTCCCCGTAGGGCGGTTTCTAATGAGAAAAATCGATCAGTTTTCCTGAGGAAGAGTTTTTGAGGATTTCCCCTCAAGTGTAAAGACTGGGCAGTTAATTGATTGATAATTTAATGAATATCCTTTCATACAGGATAATATAACAGTCTAATGAGAGAAAGAGAGAGAGAGGGAGAGAGAGAGGGAGAGAAAGAGAGGGGGGTGAGAGAGTCCACACACACAAACTATGTCTTTCAGGACCATCGGGGGTTGGATGGTCGAATGGTTAGCGCCTGCCTGCCCGTTGTATCATTAGGTCTGTCATTGAGTGAACTGAGGGAGAGAGAGAGAGAGATTGGGTTTAACGTCCACTCCCCCACTCGACACAAACTAGGTCATTTCGGGACTAACATATGGTTTAATTTTATTTCAATAATTTGCTTGCGCGTAGGGGTTTAGCAGTGGGATGAAACCGGAGAAAACCCACGAGGTTGGACAGGCGACCCTACTCCTTGTCACGTACAACGGGGGATTCGAAACCACGCCAGTTGACTCAATGACAGACTTTATGATACAGCGTGCACACACTAACCATTCAGCCATCCCCCTCCAACTGGGGTGGTTTCGATTCTCCATTTGTATGTGACAAGGAGTAGTGTCACCTGTCCGAACCCCATTTCTCCCTCCCTCTCTCTCTTTCAGGACTATCATATTGATACAATTTTATTTCAATCATTCGCTTGCGTATAGGGATCTTTAGCAGTGGGAGGAAACCGGAGAAACCCACGAGGTTGGACAGAAAAAATTCAAACCTCCAAAGGTCAGCACTGCAAACCTGGTTCAGCTATAGCCTTAGACTGGCTTGAAATAAACTTTAACTTTTTTCTGCATCAACTGGAATAATGAATACAGGCAAAAAAGTCATGTCGTGAGCTATGAAGGAAATTTTGCCCAGGCAGCAGTAATATAGCCTATTCTTTTATTGAATTCAGATTATCAAGGGCTCTTTTTCGTGCACGCCAATTTATACACAGGACCTTGGGTTTTTGGGGTTTTTTTTGTCCCATCCAAATAACTAGAAAGCTGTCCTTGATAGAGAGAGAGAGGAATGGGGTTTAATGTCCACTCGACACAAATTAGGCCATTTCGGGACTAACATATGGTTTAATTTTATTTCAATAATTCGCTTGCGCGTAGGTGTCTTTAACGTCCACTCAATACAAACTAGGACATTTGATTACTAACATATGCTTTAATTTTATTTGAATAATTCGCTTGCGCGTAGGGGTCTTTAGCAGTGGGAGGAAACCGGAGGACCCGGCAAAAACCAACAAAGTTGGAGAGGTGACCCTACTCCTTGTCACGTTGAAGCGGGGATTCTGTCCTTGACAGGCCCTCCGTTCTGCACCACTGACAAGGGGGGAAACCACGCCAAATAATCTTAAGAAACTCTCTACAACACCAGGAACTCCAAGTCAGCGAGCCAACATCTTACTCACTGAGCCACTGTGGCTGCTATATTAGTTTAAACTCGTATTAAAGTTGGTACAAGTTGTGTTTATTTCTTCGATTATATAAGTAATGTTTTATATAATGTTTTTCCACACAAGTTTTATATAAACCAACATATAAATACCAACACATAGGACTCATATCAAACAGGGCTTTTACTTCACACAGTTTTACCAGTCAATGTCTGATGGCTGATTAACAGCATAGTCAAATTAACCAGTCATTATCTGACTAACAGCATAGCCAATTTAACCAGTTATTGTCTGACTAACAGCATAGTCAATTTAACCAGTCATTGTCTGACCGACAGCATAGTCAAATTAACCAGTCAATATCCGATTAACAAGGAGAAATCTACAATATGTAATTCCTTTTGCAGTTTACTGTTATAATAAGAATAATTAGATTTTTTTTTGATGGGGTTTAACATCCACTTGACAAAAACTAGGTCATATTGGGACTAACATACAGTACATTTTATTTAAATAATCTGTTTGCACCTAGGTGTTTTTGGCACAAGGCCAATGACAGACATTCTGATCTAAAGTGCACATCACCAGACTTTTCTGTAGATTCTAATGCTGTATCTTTAAATCACATTCGATTGTCCGACAAATTGTATTTGAAGTGAAAGCCGTGCTATGAATAATATACATATAACATGTCAACAAAACATAATATTTTTACTCCTTTTATAGCTTATCTTACACAATTTTATTTCTCCTCCGTCTTTTATTTCTTATCTAAGGCCTGTTTTCCATTTTCAAGACATTTCCGTACACCTTGGAAACAGTTACATACATAGAAACGGTTTCATTACGTTTGCATTAAACTGATAAAACTGGCCTTACACTATTATTTTCTCATTTTTATTTCACATGGGTCTTTAATTACTTATCGAGGGTCCGTTTTCCATTTCGAGACATTTCCGCGCACCTTTTTGCCGGTTACATAGGAACTGTCCCATTACATCTGTATTAAACTTACAATTTCGCCGACAAAAATATTAGCTAGGAAAACAGGCCTTACACCGTTATTTCCTAATTTTTTATTTTTTTTATTTTGTCTTTAGACTGTTGTATTTATCAATCTCCTTTAATTTAGGCCACAACTAGTTCGATTCTCTGTTGTTTGGGGTCTGGATAAATCATTATCCATTTTGTTTGAAATTTCAATTCATAAAAATTGAAACTATAAAAGCTTTTGATCAGCACAACCCAATATTTTTAGTTTTTTTTTAAATAAGTTCATTTCCCAAAGAAATAAAACGGTAATTTCTTACAAGTGTTCCCAAAGAACAGAAAACCAAATTTTTTGTGGCCTTACTTAAATATATTCTTTCTGGTCTGTCTTTTCGAGTGCGAAATATTTATAAACAAATAATGCCACAAATCTTGACAATAAAATGAATTACACTGAAGTTTAAAGTCTCATGTTCTGCATTAAACAGTCTAATGAAGACAGGCCCAAATATAGAATTTCAAAAGTGATAAATATTTGTCATATCACAAGAAACGTTCATTATTCCACTGTTTCATAATATATCGTGATATCAAGAAAATTGTCCGATTTTTAAATTCAAATTCTAGCACAATTTTTCTTTAAAAGAAAATGAATTAAATAAACATAAAATAAAATAATTAATTAATTTGGATTTTCTGTTTTGTTTCTGTTCGAAATTTTTTTCAAATATTTGAAGAAAAGAAGGACAAAAAAATATATTAACAATTAAACCCAAAAAAATAAATGATAAAAATTTTCTTTAGATATTTTATCACTTATCACTGTTATTTACAAATCAAAGAAAAATTACAACAAAATTCCTAGGGAAAACTGTCAAAGTCCTCATCTGCGATTTCCTTGGCACTTTCTAATTCCTGCTGCTCTCTTTCTCTCCGATCCTAAAATATACAAGATAAATGATTGGTTAAAAAGCCGATGATGGTCAAATGAGAGATTTTTTAATACTTTATAAAGTATAATATTGTGATAGATGAATCGTTATAAGAAATATCAGTACGAAAATTGTTCAATTTCGTTCAGTATTTACAAAGATATAATGACTATAAAGTTTCTCAACATTTAGCATCCACTACAGACATACATGTAAACAAAAGAGAGAGAGAGAAATGAGGTTTAACATCACACAGACTAGGTCATTTCAGGACTAACACATGGTTTAATCTTATTTCAATAATTCGCTTGTGAGTAGGGAGAGAAATGGGGTTTAACGTCCACTCGACACAAACTAGGTCATTTCGGGACTAACATATAGTTTGATTTTATTTCAATGATTCGCTTGCGCGTAGGGGTCTTTAGCAGTGGGAGGAAACCGGAGGACCCGAAAAAAAAAAACACGAGGTTGGACAGGCGACCCCACTCCTTGTCACGTACAACCGGGGAATCAAAACCACACCAGTTGACTCAATGACAGGTCTTGATACAGCACGCACGTACAGGAGGACCTGGAGAAAAACCACGATGTTAAGTCAGGAGACACTAATCATTGTCATGTACAACTGGGGAATCGAAACCACGGCACTTGACTCAATGACTAACCTTGTGATACAACACGCACACACAAACCATTCGGCCATCCAAACCCCCTCACATAAACCCACACACACACTAACCATTCGGCCATCAAACAAGCCAGTGCCACATATATAATTATTGGGTAAAATCATTTGATGGTTGTCTTTTTAATCTGACTGAATCCAAGCCAGAAAATTATCTGAAGTTGATATTTTGATTTTAAATGTTAAATAATCAATTAAGCAATTTAAAACAAGGCATCGTCTGAAAAATCGCTGATCCAGATCTGTCATTTAAAGAAGAAAATCACATGATCAAACAAGTCGATTTTATCATTGTTTGTGGCATGTTGACTTTAGAGGACGACGCTAACGACAAAATACAGCAACCCTCCATTACAAATTTACTATTGATCTTTCCAATTTCAGTTGAGAAAATAACTTGTTGAACTTCAAACACGATAGTGTCAGCTCTTGTGGGAACGTACGGGAGGGCGGTGTGTGAAGGAATGCGTGTGCAGGGGGTTGGGGAGGTGAAATTCATCTCTGACGTTCGGCACCCCACAAAGAACACAACACTCCCAATGTCAACGATATATGTCAACAGTTTCTTTGTCGAGGAGATTGTCACGACAACAAAACAACAGCTGAGTTGACAAATACCATTTGTTTTTAATCTGACTCAGTACTCCGTACAAATAAAATCTACGCAACTATTCTTTTAAGTTTGTGTGAGGTGACTGGATATAATAGACTATTAAGTAATGACGACCAGTATTATTGTATTGTTTGTTAAGGACTGGTTTAACATTTAGATCAAAACAAAATGATGTATTTGAATAAAAAATCAACATTTCACTTTTTATTAGAAAAAATGTAATGTTTTGTTCTTAACATATAAAATTGTTTTCTGATTAAAAAATATTATTTTTGGCTTACATTTGTACTTGTGATATATATTTTCCGTTATTTTGGTTACTTTTGTTTAACTATCACTGAGGCAAGAATTGAGTTACCTGTCATAGACATTGAGAGGGAGAGAGAGAGGGAGAGAGAGAGAGGGTTCAACTTCACTCTTGCGCGTAGGGGTCTTTAGCAGTGAGAGGAAACCGGAGGACCAGGAGAAAACCCCTGAGGTTAGACAGGCAACCCTACTACTTGTCACGTACAACCGAGGAATCGAAACCACGCCAGTTGACTCAATGACAGACTTTATGGTACAGCGCGCACGCTAACCATTCAACCACCCAACCCCCCAGAGAGAGAAACAGAGAGAGAAAGAGAGGGTTTAACGTCCACTCGACACAAACTTAAACCAGTATTTCCAGATTTGCCTAATACATCTGTCTGTTCAATAAGCATACTTTTATCACCCACAACAATTTTGTTTTTTTCAAAAATATTGCCATTGAATCTTGAACAATAACACTTTCATTTGACAAGTCTGTACAAAATTCAATCAACACAAAATTTGTAAATGAAATGAAATGTGGGTTTAACGTCCTGCTGTTTTGATCAGACCGGGCTAATGAGACTGGGCTAATAAAAACGGGCATACGCCATACAGTGTGCTATGAGGGAAATTTTGCCCGCGCAGCAGCACTATGGCCTACTCTTAAATCGAATTCCAACTGCCAAGGGATCTGTTACGTGCACGCCAATATGTACACGAAACCTCAGGTTTTTTACCCATCCGAACGACTAGACAGCTGTCCTGCACCATTGAGAGGGAGAAACCACCTTGGAAAAATAATTTTTTCTTTTGTTATGTACTTTCTTCTATTCTTTGTTTTCGATCAATACAAAACCACAAGTAATTCACACTGAATTAATTTCACACATCCTGAACCGGTCTTATTCTATTTGAAAATCTGAGATAAGTGGCTGGATGTTCCTAACTATAGAATAATGTATGTAACCTGCAAGTGTCTGGATGATAGAGCAGTGATGGGATTTCGCCTGTATATTCCGGACATGTCCGAAGCTATTTTCCGAACGTCCAAAATTGTCCGACCAGGAATATGCCCAATCGGACATCAAGATATGGTGAATAATATTCAAAATTCCAAAATTAATATAGTGTACTGAGTGTATAACTACCACACAATCCGATTATCGTAAATAATAGGCTGGATAGATTAGGTAATTAAGCGATCAACGTATTTATTGTGTTATACCGTCTATACACCTACCTTGATTAACTACTTAATCTGCCATGATTGACTGACTTAATCCTTTGACGGACAATTCATCAATCTAATCTTAAACAGAAGTCATTGTTTTGCCTTTGTCGGACTATTCATGAATCCAATAAGAGTGATTATAATTTATTTTAATCTACGTCTTTACCTCGTGGTTTCTACATTGACTTGTCGCAAAATATTAAAACCCCATACATAATAAAAATATGTGAACCTCGCTATTTTTCTTATTTTATTCCTGTACGGTATTTAAATTTATGTTAGTAACATTCCTACAAAATTAAGTATTTTCATAATACATTGAATGAAAGCTTGCCGATCCTGCTTCGGCATCAAATTCACAACGGTAATATTCCTTTAAAATTACAGGTCTTGGTTTATACGACAGCAAACGAAAGAAAGGCGTTCGAAATAATAATACTTGTGATGTCAAAACATTTTCGTAAAATGGTATTTTAAAATTACATTGATGTTTAAATCACTCGTTAAAAAGGCATGGCTAACTTTAACGTACGTGACTCATAGCACATAGCTTCTTAGTGTTAAGCAATTATCGTGCGGCAATCGAAATTGTGGGAAGTGCCGCTGTGGATGAGAATTTCTATGGAGTCTTTAAAGATATAAAAGATATAACAGAAAAAATGACTGTCCATTGATTTAGGGTGTTATATATTCTTACGACTAGTTTATACATGGTGTCGGTGATTAAAATGTCCGACAAAGGAGAAACCACATGGTAAACGCGTAGATTACGTTTATAATCACTCTAATTAGAATGATACATAGTCCGACAAAGCAGAAGCAATGACTTTTGTTCCGGATTGGATTATGAATTGTCTGATAGAGGATTAAGTCAGTCAATCATGGCAGATTAAGTAGTTAATCAAGGTAGGTGTATAGACGGTATAACACTATAAATACGTTGTTCACTTAATTACCTAATCAATCCAGCCTATTATTTACGATAATCGGGTTGAGTGGTAGTTATACAATCAGTACACTATATTAATTTTGGAATTTTTAATATTGTTCACCATACCTTGATGTCCAATTGGGCATATTCATGGTCGGAGAATTTCGGACGTTTTGAAAATAGTGTTGGACATACGGGCGAAATCCCATCACTGGTCTTCACAAAAGATGGGTGTGACCCAATCTTTCAGAACTGAATGAATGGTTGATTAAGTATCCATTTTGATCTGAAGAAATATGGAAGACTTAATTCCAAAGCAAATTTCCAATCCAAGACATAGAAACCATAAATCTATCAGATTACTATATTTTCCAAAATTTATCTTATATCAATGATGTGTAATAACTTTCATAAATGTCACAATATTTATCTTCATAACTGTGGACTGTTGATATCGGACACAGAAAATAACACATCAAGGGAGATAACTCTGTTTATCCCAATGAAAATGAAATGGGGTTTAACTTCCTACTGTTCTACTCCGATTGAGCTAATGAAGACGGGCATACGCCATACAGTATGCTATGAGGGAAATTTTGCTCGGACAGCGGCACTACTGCCTACTCTTATATCGAATTCCAACTGTCAAGGGATTTGTTCATTTATTAGAATCTAACATGGGAGAGAAAGGGGATGGAGAGAGAGAGATAGAAATGGGGTTTGACATCCACTTGACACAAACGTTAACAGTGGGAGAAAACTGGATGATCTGTATAAAACCCAAGAGGTTGGGCAGGCAACCCAACACCTTGTCACGTATAAGCGGGGAATTGAAACTATGGTTAAGTGAGATATTCACTGAGTTAAAAGTGGTTCTCTCATCCTCAGTTTTTTTATCATCTAATGTACAGGACCCTTTAGCACTTGGATCACTTCAAAATTCTCGTGTTCCAAAATCTCATCCAGTCAAATTGTTCATCTCTACTTAAACTTGGCAAAAATTGCTCATCAAACTCAGTCAAGGCATGGCTGGATTTTACCCAAACTACCCTCACTTTTAACTACCATCATAATACATGCACCACATGCGTTGCTATTAACTACCATTATAAAGCATGCATAGTATTAGCTTCAACAATGAAACATGATTCAACATACCTCTGCTGATTCCAAATCTTTATTATACGATTTTGGTGGAAATCTCATCGCCTGCAAAAACAACGGAATCACTGATTATAAAGGTGATTAACACTGACAAACAATATAAAGGACAAAGGATGTCCACTTGAAAACGGCCTGGAAGTACACGTCTCAAAGCATTTTTATTAACAACCAGTGGCGCGAGAATTACTAAATCAGTCAAGAGAATCAAAAGGAGGTCACGCCATGTTCACAATAATGGATCAAAATTTGGGCATAAAAATTGTTTACAGCTTTTTTATTGCGATATATTCCATTATTTCTGATTAAATTATTTTTTGCTTGAGTATTCAATCACTCTGTAAATTTGAAGAGCATAGTCTACGCAGAGTTATTACTAGCATTTCTTGGAGAGAGAGAGAGAGAGAGAGAGAAATGGGGTTTAACGTCCACTCGACACAAACTATGTCATTTTGGGACTAACATATGGTTTAATTTTATGAACATAATTCACTTGCGCGTAGGGGTCTTTAGCAGTGGGAGGAAACTGGAGGACCCAGAGAAAACCCACGAGGTTGGACAGGCGACCCTACTCCTTGTCATGTACAACAGGGGATTCGAAACCACGCCAGTCGACTCAATGGCAGACTTTACGATACAGCGCGCGCACGCTAACCATTCAGCCATCCAAACCCCCCCCCCCACAGCATCTCTTGGAAAGTCCCGGTACATCAATGTGTACATAGGTGACGCTTTACTTGTGAGTCTTACAGTCGCTCACTCTGACAAGTTGGAAGCGGGCTTGAAAAATTCAGAGATTCTTCCCCCAGATTCAAAGTGAAGACAATCTAGTCAACAGTTGTGCACTTACTGCTCAACTAAAATAGTTAAATTTACCAAGAAATAAAATATAATCATACAATCGTAACTCAAATTCTGAATGTTATCTCAGAGTACCTATTGTTCTTCTCATGTTATCAGACAATGTTAGTGCTTGTCCACTTATCTTCCTTCACAATACCACATGGCTATATCAATATGGCGGCTGTATACCACATGGGTATATCAATATGGCAGCTCTATATCAACGTGGCAGCCATATATCAATATGGCATCTCTATATATCAATATGGCAGCTGTATATCAATATGGCGGCTGTATATTAACATGGTGACTGTATATCAATATGGCGATTCTATATTAATATAGCGGCTCCATATCAATATGGCAGCCATATATCAATATGGCAGCCATATATCAATATGGGGACTGTATATCAATATGGTGATTCTATATTAATATAGCGGCTCTATATCAATACGACAGCTCTATATTTTATATTAAACAGTAAAATATCTACGTTTACATACCTTAACTGAATGATTGTGAATTCCCAAACAAAAACTAATTCTTTGATGGAAGGCAGACATTGGTTCTTTTGTAGTATAGATATCACTAGTTTCTTTAGATTGTACATAACCCTTCTCATGATCTATTCTAGCTTCTATCACACCATCACGTATAGCCTGTAATATAATATATATATAACATGATCACGTATAGCCTGTAATATAATAATATATAACATGATCACACAATCACGTATAGCCTGTAATATAATATATAACATGATCACACCATCACGTATAGCCTGTAATATAATATATAACATGATCACACAATCACGTATAGCCTGTAATATAATATATAACATGATCACACCATCACATATAGCCTGTAATATAATATATAACATGATCACACCATCACGTATAGCCTGTAATATAATATATAACATGATCACACCATCAAATATAGCCTGTAATATAATATATAACATGATCACACCATCACATATAGCCTGTAATATAATATATAACATGATCACACCATCACATATAGCCTGTAATATAATATATAACATGATCACACCATCACATATAGCCTGTAATATAATATATAACATGATCACACCATCACGTATAGCCTGTAATATAATATATAACATGATCACACCATCACGTATAGCCTGTAATATAATATATAACATGATCACACCATCACGTATAGCCTGTAATATAATATATATATAACATGATCACGTATAGCCTGTAATATAATAATATATAACATGATCACACAATCACGTATAGCCTGTAATATAATATATAACATGATCACACCATCACGTATAGCCTGTAATATAATATATAACATGATCACACAATCACGTATAGCCTGTAATATAATATATAACATGATCACACCATCACATATAGCCTGTAATATAATATATAACATGATCACACCATCACATATAGCCTGTAATATAATATATAACATGATCACACCATCACATATAGCCTGTAATATAATATATAACATGATCACACCATCACGTATAGCCTGTAATATAATATATAACATGATCACACCATCACGTATAGCCTGTAATATAATATATAACATGATCACACCATCACGTATAGCCTGTAATATAATATATAACATGATCACACCATCACATATAGCCTGTAATATAATATATAACATGATCACACAATCAAGTATAGCCTGCAATATATAGCATCACGTATAGCCTGTAATATAATATACAACATGATTATAATATATATAACATGATCACACCATCACATATAGCCTGTAATATTACAACTATAAGTTTATAAAAACAACATCCTAAGCCACTGCATAAAGTTTATTTCTATGCAAACAATAAATTTATTTAACTGAGAAATTTATAATTATCAAAAGACAAGTACTGGTTCAACGCATGCCCTTTAGGTCTGTCGTTGGGCTAACTAGTGTTAACTAAATCCCATATCTGTATGTGATAAGTGTACATCGCATTTAAGAAGAAACTTCTACATATGATCCTGACAAGACAAATGAATAGAGAGAGTGAGAGAAATGGGGTTTAACATCCACTCGACACAAACTAGGTCATTTCCGGACTAACATATGGTTTAATTTTATTTAAATAATTCGAAACCATGCCAGTCGACTCAATGACAGACTTTATGATACAGCGCGTGCACGCTAACCATTCAGCCATCCAACCCCCCCGACAAATGAATAGAGGCTTTCCAAAGTAATAGATAACTTTACTTATAATAATACCATGAAGCAAATGGGATATATTGTTAGTCAAGCTCATAAACAGTTGCACGACTGATGGAGGGGGGGGAGGAGTTGAGATATCACTCTCAGTGGAAACGAACATTCAACACTACTTTTCTTTTGTAGCCTCTGTTAATAAGGCTTATAAACAGTTCAACACGACTAATGGAGGGAGTGGGTCTGCGATATTACCCTCATTGGAATCCCTACCTGCTGGAGCCTGTTTTTTTCATTTTTAGCCTCTGTTAATAAGGTTGATAAACAGTTGAGCCTGACAGATCGGGAATTTGGAAGACTAGGGAACATTAATCAGGTGTTAGATTCACTACACCCCACGATACAAATCAAGAATTATTTTACTCACCTTAGCTACGATATATTCAGCATCTTCTGGACTATCAAGGACAAGTTTATTGGCGACATCAACCAATGATATACGAGAGTAGGATAAACTGATCATGCGTACACCAGTTTTAATAACGTTATGTCGTAAACGGATGATCAATGTATACGTATCTTCTGCTTGAAATTTAGAACCAAATTTGGCCAAAACAGAATTAAATTTGTTTAAATTTCCACCTCGAACAGCTGAAAGATAGTATAATTATGTGATTAAATATATACTGAATTAAAACCAGTCCAAATAGGCTTTATCGTTCATCAGTGTGTTGGGTAAGGCTAGCAATTCTACCATTATCGTCCATCAGTGGGTTGGGTAAGGCTAGCAATTTGACCTTTATCTTCCATCAGTGGGTTGGGTAAGGCTAGTAATTCTACCTTTATCATCCATCAGTGGGTTGGGTAAGGCTAGTAATTTTCCTGTTAATGTATCCCACCTCTTCTACTATGGGGTTGATCAAATTCATATTAACAAATCACAATAACGGCACCCAAACTATATAACTACCAAATATGCTTAGAACAATGTTTAGAATCATTTAATGTCCCTTATTTGATGAAATCTGAAAAGCACCACGCAGGTATCAGGTCTTAAATTTTTTTTTTGTATTCAATCAACTAGTTCCAGTGAAGGAGTTAACCAGCGACTGCCAGGCAGGATACGCTCACATTTTACAAGAGATGTTACAGTCCGATACATGCCAATATCGAAAGGAACAAGATCTTAGGGTGATAAACTTTTGATAAGTCAAAAGAAAGGTTTCATCGTCACTTTATTTTGGCCATAACAGTCACTGAACAAGGGGAGATAACTCTATAGTAATCTGAAGAAAATTAACAAATCCTTTGTGAGACTGATGTTGTCTTGCGTTGGGTTCATGTAACATGATTCACCAGGATATCTCCGTGCTATATACAACTACTGTTTATTACATTTTTATCTGGGTAATTGGAAACGAAATTGGGATTTTGTACCAAACAAACACCTGGACACGGTTCTTTGTCTGCTGTCCAGCTTCAGTAGAATTATTGTTGACAAGTATTTAACTCACCTTGCGTAAGTAGGAAATACGGAGCTAATGTTCTCTTCATGTTGGTTTGTCTAAACGTGAGTCGGTCCGGAATATCACCTAATAATAATTCTACAACTATAGCCAATCGCTGTACCTGTAATATAATAATTCTACAACTATAGCCAATCGCTGTACCTGTAATATAATAATTCTACAACTATAGCCAATCAATGTACCTGCAGTGGTGGCGCCAGCCGTCGGTGATTGGAGGGGCAAACCTGGGGCAAAGTCCAAGGTTAAGGGGGCAAAGGCACGAGCTTCAACTAGGGGTAGGGGGCCTCCCCCAGAAAATTTTGAAAAACAGGTTGCCGGAAATGCAGCCTGGTATTTCAGGCACTGATCGATGAGGTAAAGTGTCAAACGACCGGACTTAAGAATCACGACGAAGCCCACTCACGAGCGTCAAAGTAGGGAGTCCTCCCCCAGAAAATTTTGAAAAATAGACTGCTGGAAATGCTGTCTTAAAGTATTCTGTCAGGCACCGATCGTCGAGATAAATAGATCTGCCCAGATACCGTTCGTCGCCCGATCACTAGTTTATCCGACTAGAGAACAAAATGTCATACGAATGGACTTGCGAACCTCAACGAATTCCCCTTGTGAGTGCCAAAGTAGCGAGTCCATTGGGGACCTCACCAAGAAAATTTTGAAAAATAGACTGTCGGAAATGCTCTACAACATGCAAGTTTATGACTGAATGGGGATGTGGGATTTATTCACCGTAGAAGGTATTGATAACCGAAACGTATCACAAATACTTTTTTTATTTTCTAAAATTATTGGGGGGGCAAACAGAGGGCAGACCAGATTAATTGGGGGGCAAATGCCCCCCCTTGCCCCCCCCCCCTGGCGCCACCACTGTGTACCTGTAACATAATTCTTAATAATAAGCTCATCCATCCATGATATCCGCGCTAATGATCAGCCATAATTTTCATCAATAATTGAAGTCTTGTCAATGCATAAGTCGTAGCACGGCGATTACGATATGGTAAAATTGTTTGGGATGGAAGATTCATTCTAATTGATTTTGTACTGGTTTCATAGTCATTATGGGACTAACATCTGGTTCAATTTTATTTCAATAATTAGATTGTGCATAGAGATCTTTAGCAGTTGGAGGAAACTGGTGGAAAAGGAGAAACCCACGAGGATGGACAGACGAAACACGCCACTCGACTCCATTGCAGAACTTATGATCTAAAGTGCATGCCTTAGACCATTCAGTTAACAAACCCCTTCTATTTAGTATCCACACAATTAACTGATTCCATCAGACAAGTTTTCATTTAAAAAGCCTACTTACTGTTTGTTTAAAACCAATAGCACTGTACTGTGGAGCTTTTCTTAATGCCTGGACTAAATGTTTGTGGGCTTCGGAATATTCTAACTGGGCAGCTTTTATACGTCCTAAAATAAATACAATAACTCGTCAACAATATAAAACAACCAGTGAAAAAATTCAAATATATTTGGTGCAACCCAAAACATCTGTTCAATTGATGAGTTCATTTAGTTTAGGGAAAACATCCCTCTCAAGAACAGGTAGAGAGCATAGCAGTTTAAACTCTTGTCAACAAGAGGTAGAGAGAAGACTAGTTTAAACTCTTGTTAGTGGTCAAATTAAATATTCTAATTCATTATTTAAATGCACTTCGAATATCCAAATTAAACATATATTTTGCAAGAGCTAAATCTGCCTATTGCAGGTCTTTCTTTAGGCCTGAAATGTTTCTAAATTATTAATGAGACATTAATTAACTTATCCAGGCCATAATCAACTCTCGATGGCATCTGATTTCTCGGATATTAAATAGATTAGAACAGTTCAGCCATATTTTGATTTAAGGTAAAAATGGAGGAGGAGATTTAGCTCTGAACAACCAGTATGGTGGTTGAAATTATTGCACACGTCTTGTCAAACCTTCAAAGGCTAATATCTTCGCTCGCAATAGAGTAATTTGAATGAAATTTTCAATTTAATCATTTTAAATTATCTATGTTCGAACTATTATAGCAAGAATGACTAGCTCTTTATCTAAATCTTACATAATGTATCTTTAACTGTTTTATCATTATTAGTGCATTTTCAGATTTCCAGAGGCTATAAATTTCAAATCATAATACTTTTATTCTTGTAGTGATATTTAGTAACTGGGTAGATAAATACACTATAGAGATAGAAATGGGGTTTAACGTTCACTCAACGCAAACCAGGTCATTTCGGGACTAATACATGGTTCAATCTTATTTCAATAATTCACTTGTGCATAGGGGTCTTTAGCAGTGGGAGGAGACCGGAAGACCGGGAGAAACCCACGAGGTTGGACAGGCGACCCTACTCCTTGTCACGTACAACCGGGGAATCGAAACCACACCAGTTGACTCAATGACAAACCTTGATTCAATGACAGACCTTCCACACTCGCGCGCTACTACCCACTGTCCTCACTCGCAAAAACCACAACAGCATGATGAATAGCACTTAAGGACCAGTTATTGAGAAACCAGTTCAAATAGCATAATATAAAGCGAAGCTCTAAAACATCGCGCAAATCATGGTGCTTGAGCAAGGCTCTTTTCTGATAACACAGGAACGTAACTAAAACTGTCACCGACAGATCGGAACCGAATACACTGGGCAAAACGTGTCTGATCAATGACATCACATATTTTTGACGTCAATGAAAATAATTCTCACACTTTTTTTTTTAAAACAAAATTAATTATAAAACTTAGATCTAATTTAAAATCAATTTGAACTTAACGAATTTTAAAAAAAATATTTGTATCACTTGAGAAACTTATGAAGGTTTTATATTTAACAACAATCACATTAGTTTCGCTCTTCTCAGGCAATCTCTGTTACATAATATTAGAATCACCGTATTTACGTTAGCCCTCAATTGAGGAGTTGGCAGCACTCGGCAAAGCTTGCTCTACTCGGGCAATGTCCGTTACATAATATTAGTATTTACGTTAGCCCTCAATTGAGGAGTTGGCAGCACTCGGCAAACCTCAGCAGATTCCGGTACCCTACATCTAGCCCCGGATGTATGACGGTAAGTGATATGTACCTACGCCTATACAATTGCGATGCCGCACCGGTTTACTTAATAGGTAAACTTGCCGCTTTTAGAAAGACGTTCTCACAATTGCGTCGTTCTAAGGGTATGTAGAATTTTCAGTGCAAAGTTAATTATCATTGTCTAAAGAAAATCGGATAAACCTGAGAGAAAAACAGATGAAATGAAATGAAATGGGGTTTAACGTCCTACTGTTCTGCTCCTATGCTGGGCTAATGAAGACGGGCATACGCCATACAGTGTGCTATGAGGAAAATTTTGCCCGGGCAGCGGCACTATCGCCTACTCTTATATCGAATTCCAACTGCCAAGGGATCTTTTACATGCATTCCAATGTATACACGGGACCTCGGTTTTTCGTATCATCCAAAGGACTAGACAGCTGTCCTTGTCAGGCCCTCCGTCCTGCATCACTGACAAGGGGAAACCACGTCGGAGAGAGAAAAACAGCTTCAGAGTTTGAAATCTTTGTATGATAAAACATTGTTCAAAGGCGTCGTCATGGGCAACGCCATTTTTAATCCGGGAACTCGAAAGTAGTTTCAATGGTGGATTTCATCATACAGCCGAGGCCAGATGTAGGGTACTGGAATCTGGGGAGGATTGCTGAGTGAGGTTGACAGTAGACCCTGATTGACTTACCTAAATAATATAGATATCTAGCCCACTCATTATTTGAAGAACTTTCCGGAAAGGTAGATTTAGAGATAAGTTTATCAGCTTGTTCATACAGATTATAATGTAGATAATTTCTCAATAACAGGTTAATTAATGTAGCTTGACCTTCAAAATCACTTCTTAATGTTGCGGTTCTCAGTCTCGCGTGTAAAAATCTGAAGTAAAAGAAGTTTTAAAATGAATGAGAGAGAGTCATTTCGGGACTAACATATGGTTCAATTTTATTTCCATAATTCGCTTGCATATAGGGGTCTTTAGCAGTGGGAGGAAAGTGGAGGACCTGGAGAAAACCCACGAGGTTTGACAGGCAACCCTACTCCTTGTCACGTATACAACCCGGGAATCGAAACCACTCCAACTGTCAAGGGATCTTGTACGTGCACACGGGACCTCGGTTTTTCGTCCCATCCGAACGACTAGACAGCTGTCCTCGTCAGCCCCTCCGTCCTGCATCACTGACATAGGAGAACCATGCCGGAAAATCTGATGAACTTTCTAGGCCAATGAAGGGATCAAACACCCGACCTGAAGGCTAGCGAGGCAGCATCTTACCCACTTAGCCACCGTGATCCCCCCCCCCATGGATGAAAGAGAAATGGGGTAACATCATCTCAACACAAACTAGGTCATTTCTGAACTAACATATAGTTTAATTTTATTTCAATAATTTGTTTGTGAGTAGGGATCTTTAGCAGTGGAAGGAAACCGGAGGACCTGGAGAAAAACCACGATGTTAATCCGGAGACTCTTACCCTTGTCAGGTACCAGGGTGGGATCGAAACCATGCCACTTCGACTAAATGACAGACCTTATGATCTAAAGCTTATGCTGAGAAAGAGAAAGAAATGGGGTTTAACGTCCACTCGACAAAAACTAGGTCATTTCGGGACTAACATATGGTTTAATTTTATTTACATAATTCGCTTGCGCGTAGGGGTCTTTAGCAGTGGGAAGAAACCGGAGTACCCAGAGAAAACCCACGAGGTTGGACAGGCCACCCTACTCCTTGCCACGTACAACCAGGGATTCGAAACCACGCCAGTCGACTCAATGACAGACTTTATGATACAGCGCGAATGCTGAACACCGATGAAATATACTGTGTATATATAGTAGAATATTTAAATTACCTACCCTCTGATAACTTCCAGATTGTTGGTAAGTTCGTATGCCCGTGAATGATAATAGTAACATTTAGCAGCTAGCATATCTAATGTTCTACGGTTTAATAACCCAATCTTATTAACTAACTGACCAGAACATTTCACAGCCTAAAATATACACACATAAATATAAAATACTATCTTATTTTACACCCTTAAATACACATAAACATTAATTACTATCTTATTTATTAGCTGATAGAACGTTTACACAACGAGGCGTAAGAATTATTGATGGACAATTCTTACGACATGGTGGAAGTTCTGGCAGCACATGCGCAAGTTACACAATGTTGGACTTGTACTATTTTGCAGTTTGAAAGAGAGGATGTCGTAAGAATAGGCAATGCTTTATTTTTACGAGATCGTCATAAAAAAAAGCCGGTTTCCCATTCTTACGACATTTTAAGAAGTAGTCTAGGCTGTAAACTATTGTAGATTTTTAAAAGTTTTTTATTAACTTTGAATCTAATCCAGCAAATACTCAAATGTTCTGATTCTTAGATTTGAAAAGTAATTTCCATAAAACTTAAAATGGGGCACTTTTAAATGTCAAAGTGACTGTATGCCCCTTATTCTTTGATAAGGCCCATTTTACTCTATTAAAATGATTTATTTTTTTCCGAAAGCATAATACTTTTATCTTCTGGAGCTTTTCGCTGTGTGCTTCTCTTATTTAAGCTATGTTATGTGAGCTTTCTTTAAAATAATAATTTAAGATATTAAAACTGAATTTATATATATCATATATATATATTATAATTACGGTCCCGAGATGACCCCTTCTGGTGTCAGACAAAGTAGTCGTCGTAAAAATAGCCTGTCTCCTATTCCTATGAGGATCTGTCGTAAAGATAAAACATTGCCTATTCTTATGACATTCCCTCTTGCCAAGTCCAAAATTTTGTAACTTGCTCATGCGCTACCGGAACCGGAACTTCAACCCTGTCATAAGAATAGTCCATCAATAATTCTTACGTCTCGTCGTAAGAATAGCCACGGTGTAAAATTAATAATAATTTATTAAACTTATATAGCGCCAGAATCCAGCTGGAAAAAGCTGCTCTATGGCGCTTTTACAACATATAATAGACATGTAAAAGTATATTAGTAATAATCAAACATTAAGACTAATGTCTCCCGCGCAATCCCAAAATCCATCTTGCATCACTGATATTGGCGAAGAGTTACAGTTTGTACTAGGATGTTAAATCTCAACAAATGAAAAGGCTGCATATATTTGAAATATTTCAGTTTATGTTATCCTGAATAAGGCTCCCGATATATTTTGAAAATGTACAATTTTGTTGTACGTTTCGTTTAAATCTCTGCTGAGTAGTTATAGCCTAGACAACACCCAATCTGATTAAAATACAGATATATATTTCGTTTCGTTTTTTTATACTTTCGATGGCCTACACTACATGAAGATCTGACAAGTTATAGCAATAGGTCACGTCAGGGGTCAAAAGACCGACTTATGGCCCTATGATGTCAGACATTGATTAATCAATCAGCGTTGACGTTTCTAGTCGTTTACCCACAGTACCGCACAGAGCACGTCAAGAACGGGTTGTAACAGACCATTTTTTTGGCTAATCTCTCACACCAAGCAGAATATGGGTTATATAACAACTCTTCCAGATCCTAGCACTGTAACCCAGGTATCATTTAATCTTGTGTATCTAGCACTAATTTCTTTTACATTCGGTTAATATCAAATCTTTGTTTAGAAATTCGTAAAAATTGTTTAAAATCACCAAAAATCATCTAATTTGTACTTGTGTCCAGTTTAAAGCTGACTGATTAATTTTGATAATGAGTGTCCAATTTACAAGTATTTAATTTCCTGACCCTTGTTCAAAAATTAATCAATTGGGTTGTTTATTTTTTAACAGTGATCGAGAAATTAAATACTTGTTAATTGGACACTCATTATTAAAATTGAATGGTCAGCTTTAAACTGGACACAAGTACAAATTAGATGATTTTTGGTGATTTTAAACAGTTTTTCCAAATTTTTAAACAAAGATTTGATAATAAATGAATGTGAAAGAAATTAGTGCTAGATACACAAGATTAAATGATACCTGGGTTACAGTGTAGTGTTGTGAAGACAAGTAAAACGAAATTTTGAACTAAAATAAATAGGATGCGTGTTTTAATCAGATTGAGACAACACCACGTTTAATCCATTCCACCAAATTAAAATGATAAATTAACAGACAAACCTCTTTATATTTTTTCTGATCTATGAGATATATGACCACCAAGAGATTAAAATAGATTTCTAATTCTGGTAATAATGGTAGGGTTGCTGCTTTCCCGGATCTTGGTCGAAATGGTGTTCCTATTCCATTTACTGTACCAGGCTGAAAAATAGATATCAACCGTCAAAATGAAAATATTTCGTTAGTGGACCATATGATGACATTACCTATAGAATGTTCACAAGATTCTGTAATAAAGAAACTAAGGACAGTGTATACAGAAGAAAAAAATGGAAATTGTTGAAATACAATAACATTCTTCATTTAAACATACATTATGCAAGAGCTAAATATGCCTATTGCAGGTCTTTCTTTAGGCCTGAAATGTTTTCTAAATTATTAATTAGACATTAATTAACTTATCCAGGCCATAATCAACTCTCGATGGCATCGGATTTCTCCGATATTAAATAGATTAGAACGGTTCAGCCATATTTTGATTTAAGCTAAAAATGGAGGAGCGAGATTTAGTTTCGAACAACAAGTACGATGGTTGAAATTATTGCACACGTCTTGTCAAACCTTCAAAGGCTAATATCTTCCCTCGCAATAGAGTAATTTGAATGAAATTTTCAAATTATTCATTTTACATTATCTTTTTTCTAACTATTATTAGTATTATAGCAAGAATGGCTAGCTCTTTATCTAAATCTTACATACATGTAATGTATCTTTAACTACATGTAATTTGAAATGAAATGAAATGGGGGTTTAATGACCTATTTTTCTGTTTCATCCTGGCTAATGAATGGTCACTAATTAGAACAATACATATTGATTCCAAGCAGATGATCAAATGATATATGTTGTTGGCTACACATACATGTACATGACAAGGGCCGAAACTGTAGATATAATTTCACTATATGCCATTTTAAAATTTTAACTCTGACATACAAAGTATTAAATAAAACAGCACCAAGATATCTTCAGAATCTCTTGACACACTACCAACCAAAAAGGTCACTGAAATGCGAGAATAAATTATTGTTCAATGTACTGGTTTATAAGATGAAGAGATTTGGTTCAAGGACTTTTCAGTATAATGCATCAATTCTATGGAATTCGCTGCCACCTTCCATTCAAAAATGTGAAACATTGTCCAGTCATTGTTTTTTGAGGTGTGTGATCGCTCTCGAGCGCCTGTCGAGCACCCGAATGTCGACTGAGGGGAGGTTTTTCTCCCTCGCCTTAAAATTGAAAATCGCTCTCCATATTTGTAAATCATGGACATGTATATATTTGGGTTTTTTCAAAAGAGTGTGAAAGACTCACATTCCGAGCGTCACCATGCTGTCATTGTGAACATTTATTTGGTGTATTCGATTAGTATAATGTGATCGCACAGGGTAATAAAATTCCGATGAATATGTTGCTAAAAATAGATGGCGACTGTGCATCATTGGTTAATTTAACTGAAATGAAAAGTACAACTCTCGCGAGACGTGAGAAATTACGAGAGAGGGCACATGAAAATTTCCAATGAGAATAATTCCGGAAAAAATAGATTATATTTTAATGGAATTTTCAAGCATTTATGATTATATTTTGAATAGGGGTTATGTTTTTAAACAAAATTTATACAAGCTAAATATATATTTAGAAATGTCGACAAGTATTTCTCTTGGAATACCGTATGTACTGTAGTTATAGACGACAGTAGAAGTTTGACTTGACTGTACGACTACACGAGTGCTATTTAGCAGACGATGTTTATTTAATTATCATTTATATGTACACGTAACAAAGAATGACCCTTACACGCAGTTATTGATCTTCAGAACCATTTCCCATACAAACAACTAATCACACTCCTTAATATCAGATCATTCTCCTTAATTTCTAAATCACTCTTCTTATCGAAACTGGGAGAGCTTTTTTAGGGGAGCGATTTTTTCAATTTGTTCATTAAGGGGAGCTTTTTTCGGCTCTCCTCTAAAATACAAAAAACAACGACTGATTGTCTATCTTCAAATCAAGTGTGAAAACCTGGCTGTTTAGGCACTATATTTAACTGATGTGAACACCTTCATTTGCTTAGAGCTGAGCATCCCCAAGTGGGATGAATTGTTGAGCAATATAAATTTCGTTATTATTATTATTATATGTCTAAGATAAATATAGTATTAGTACAGGAAAGCCACTGAGAGAGAGAGAGAGAGAGAGAGATTGATTAACACTTGACACAAGCTAGATAATTTCGGGACTAACATATGGTTCAATTTCATTTCAAGAATGTGCTTGCGCATAGGGGTCTTTAGCAGTGGGAGGAAACCGGAGAAAACCCACAAGGTTGGAAAACCCATGAGGTATCCACTGCATAAAGCCAGAATATGTCCGGGGTATGACCAGTATAAAATATAGTCCATTGCCCTTTTGCATAAACCACATGTAAAGTTGCATCCACAATCTGAAACAGTACTCCAGTATACCAAACACTAATTGCCATAAAGATTTGTTCTCTTGTAACCCTTTTTAAATTTACCTCTGTTAAAAATGGTGTGAGATCCTCTTTTTGTTGTGATGCTGCTGTGTAGTATCCATGAATTAATTTACGTAAAATATTTGATGATAATTTTCTGCGGACTGAAACAAGACCACGAATCACCCTGGACATAAACCTAGGTTCCTTTGTAGCCACAGCCTTTTCGATATGTCGAATTTGTTCTTTGATATCTGTAAAATTTAAAATGAAATGGAATGTGGTTTAGTTTTATTGTGTTTTTTATTTGCATCAATCAGTCTAATGAATACAGTTTGCATGCCAATGTTTACGTGGGACCTCGATGTTTCGTCCCATCCGAAGGACTAGACAGCGCTTTCCTTGTCAGGCCCTCCGTCCTGCACCACTAACAAGGGGGAAACCACGTCGGGAAATCTTGATGAACTTTCTCGGCCCATGCAGGAATCAAACACCCGACCTCCAGGCTAGCGAGCCAGGGTCTTACCCACTTAGCTACCGTGGCTCCTTTCATAGATAAGAGTTCCAAATGAAAAGGGTTCTTATAAGTGCACACAGACATACATTCGTCATTAGAGAGTACTATACAAGATGAAAGTTTATGCATTGATGATGAATTGAAAACAAATTTTTTGATTACTGTAGGCCTACTCCCTGGGGTTGATTTGTTCTGGTAGGGAATTTCACATCTGTAGTAAACAACAAATAAAAAAATGTCAAGAAATTCTCATCTTTCAATTTGACTTTCTTATTTAACTGGTATTCAGTGGTATAAAATATAACAACCACCAATCCATGCATGGCTTTTTTTCAGACTCAGTACTTTTTCAGTAGCCAGTTCTCTCTTGCCTTGATTTGTTTAGATTGAGTATTGAAATGATTAACCACTAATTAGCACCTCCTCTAAACTAAACTATTACCACCTATAGAAGGTAATTAACATGCTGACCACTTGATTAACTGGTCTAAAAATAACTTTTTTGGCAGCAACACAAACTTTTTAGTCTGAATCTGACATCTCAGTGTCAATAAACTGCGTCGTTAACATTAGTTATGCTTTTTAAAATAGAAGCAATAAAACAACAATCTAACATTTTCTACTCAACTAAAGACACCGATTACTGAATAATTTAGTACCTTCTAAAGTTAGCAAATCTGGATCCTTTTTGGTTTCTTCTTTCGTTTCTGTTGGTTCGTCCGCGCCAGTGGACGCTGGGCTAGACGCATCTTTCATTTCAACATCTGTACTCGTGTTCTTCACCATTTTGAGTCTACTAATTTGATAAATACAACAGTCTTATAAAGTTCTTTCTATAAAGGACCCGTTTAAGGAGATTTAAGTGAACATTTATCAACAAAGACAGACCAATTTCATCTCGGCATGATCTGCAAAATTTCAACAAAATGGTGGATGTAATCTCGGGGCGGAAGTTGACTAAAAACTTTAAAAGATTTATGTATGAATCAATAAACCCTCTTTTTGTCAATATCTGGTACACAAATATTATTTATCACTATAAAAATATTTTAGGTTCCAAATGGAATTTGTTTTTAAATAAGGATTTATTTTCAACCAATGAAATAAAAGAAAGAATGAAAATCGGAGTGCGGGAGAAATCATTGTTCTGTGACATGTCATAAAAAAAATCGTCTGCTTCTGGTAGCTCTATTATTATAAAACCAGGTTGGAGTTATTTGCGTTCTTGAATTGTTTCGTGTGGTGTATGTATGTATTTTAGAAATTTCACTACAATTCATTGCAGCATTGATTTTTTTCCATTTCTATTTGTAAATATCGGGCAGAAAATTGAATTCTTCGGTTCTTGATTTATGTTGAATGTATATTAAGCTATTAATAAACCCTCCCGTGTTATACCTTGGCTTAGCATTGATACATGAATTTATTTTGTCCTCTAATAAAATAGGTTTTTGTTGTTTTTGTTGGTTTTTTTTTAGTTCGTTCTTATCAAACAGGGATTTACCGATAAATATGTGTTGTGCAGTGGAATTGCTCGCATTGGCGTTGGATGACCGAATGGTTAGCACCTGCACGCTGTATCATAAGGTCTGCCATTGAGTCAACTGGCGTTGTTTCGATTCCCCGGTTGTATGTGACAAGGAGTGGGGTCGCCGGTCCAACCTCGCGGGTTTTTTCCGGGTCCTCCGGTTTCCTCCCACTGCTATAAAGACCCCTACGCGCAAGCGAGTTATTGAAATAAAATTAAACCATACGTTAGTCCCGAAATGACCTAGTTTGTGTCGAGTGGACGTTAAACCCTATTTGTCTCTCTCTCTAATAAAATGTTGGGATTTATTTTGGGGTTTTTTTTTCGTTTTTTTTTTTTGTTTTTTTTTGCGTTAATGAGTTCTTTCTGATCAAAAAGGGATTTTACCGGCAAATATGTGCTGTGCAGTGGAATTGTTCGCATAGGCGTTAGTTACAACAACAAGCCCGATGGATGCGGAGGGGGGGGGGGGGTATCTGATGTTCATGGTGTCTCAAACAGGCAATTTGACGGCCACGCAAACGCGTTTTTCTGCTGTTCTAACCTGTGAGTACAGCAACTAAAATGTGGTCCAACCGAAATACCACCCTATGGTCTCTAAATATTGGCAACCTGAATTCCAGAAAGACTGCAGTTACTGAGTAACTTCGATCAGCTGTATTCAAGATGCGGTCAAATGAAGGCAAGCCGTCAAATGAAAATAATAAATAACTAACTAAATACCCAGGGTACGTCTCGGACAGTAATATGTACAGCATCCTAAAACTGGCGCTGAAATAGTCGGTCTGAGCGCACCGTAAAACAATTCGGGCAACGTAGATCGGGATGAACAAGGGGTAAACTTAAAATTAAACAAACAAAGGAGGCTACTAACCCGAAAACAATTACGCTGATTTTTACCCCCCCCCCCTTTTTTTTTTAGCCATAATATTTTTTTATCATTTTTTTTTTTTTTTTGCAGCTGAGCTTACCCGATATTTCTTGACATTGGTTGCCATATTGTGTGTTCAACCAATCAAGGGGGGATTATTCAAAGAAAATGTTTTCATTAGATCAGTGAAGAAAATAAAAACTACGCGTTCTAGATGGCTGGTTTCTTTGACTTATGTCCTGGACCGTTTGACTCCTTCGTTCCAGTTTTTCTGGTGAACAAGCTATTTTTAAGTAGGCAGGGCCAATAATTTCGATTGGAAATGAAAATTCTGGCATTAATAGATACACATTAAAACATAGCCTACCCTTTACCAAGTACATGGGGTAAAAAATAAGTAAACGCATACTTTTACCAAATATAAAACGTACGCTACTTACTAAGCAGGAGGGGGGGGGGGTGTAAACATACCAATTTTATCAAGTTAAAAGGGTAAAACATATCCTTTACCAAGTACGGGGGGTAAAACGCTAAATCTGTATTTTTCATGCCTTAAATGTTATATATAATTTATTAATTAGACATTTATTATCATGACAACCCCAGAATACCATCTCGATACCATAATTGGATGGCCCCGATTTTAAGTAGATTAGAACGATTCGACCATTTATTGATTTAATTTAAAAATAGAGAAGCAAGGCTAAGACTCGAATAACCAGTTCGGTGGTTACGATCACTGCACACGTCTTGTCAAAACTACAATCATTGATAATTTCGCTCAAAATAAAATAATTTGAAATAAATTTTCAACATATTCATTTTGCATTATTTATTTTTGAAATATTATAGCGAGAACAGCCAGATCTTTTCAATTAGTTTAACAAAAAACTAGAGTCCAGCTGGCTCGCTAACCTGGTTGGCCGAGAAAGCTCCCCTGGGTTTTTCAGTCTAGTCGTTCGGATGGAACGAAAAAACCCGTGGTCACGTGTACACGTTGGTGTGCACTAACACATTGAACGTCGGAATTCGACATAAGATTAGGTTGTAGCGCCACTGCCCTGTCAAATGTTTCCACATAGCACACTGCATGATAGACCCGCCTTCATAATAATAATAATAATGTACATTTATATAGCGCTTAATCCATCCATGAGCATGCTCTAAGCGCTGTAAGTTAATGGCTTCTGTGGATAATACATCGTGAACATATGCGTCTTAAGTCTAGATCGAAATTGAGCAACTGTTTCTGAACACTTTATTTTGTCAGGTAAGTCATTCCATAGTCGTGGACCATATACACTGAAGGCTTTATCACCAAAAGATTTTAATTTAGTTGAAGGTACAACAAGTGATAGATTATTCTGTGAACGGAGTGGTCGGTTTGGTACATAAGGCTGCATAAGATCTGTGATATAGGATGGAGCTGAATCATGCTGAGACTTGTAGACCAGTGTTAAGATTTTAAAGTTTATACGAGCCTCTATTGGTAACCAGTGAAGCGATTTAAGGACAGATGTTATATGTTGACGTTTTGCTGTTCTTGTGATGATTCTGGCACAGTTGTTCTGAATTATTTGAAGTCGCTTTAATAAATGTTGAGATATTCCAGCCAAGGCACTATTACAATAGTCCAATCTTGAAAAAATTAGAGACCGCACCAAAAGATGACAAGCAGCAGTAGTCAATAGATGACGAATGTTTCCTATACTACGGAGATGAAAATTACAAACACGGCATAACTGATCAACCTGTTTTTCCATTGTTAAAGACGGATCAAATATAACACCTAGATTTTTAACCCTTGTTGCAAATTCAATACTAGAGTCGCAAATTACAAGACGAGAATCAGGAGTTGATGCGAGACGCTGTGGTGTTCCAACAAGTATTGCTTCTGTTTTTTCATCGTTTAACTTCAATTTATTATTATTCATCCAGGATTTAACAGCTTTGGAGCAGCGAGTGGTATTTTCAAAGGAATCATGAGCATTGTCTTGTTTAAACTTACTGATTAACTGTGTATCATCAGCGTAGGAGAAATGGCTTATATCAAACTGGTCTATAACATCCCCCAGACATCGTGTGTACAGTATAAACAATACCGGTCCAAGAACAGATCCTTGAGGCACTCCACAATTAAGGTTTGCAAACTCGGAATGAGATTTGTTTATAATGATCTTCTGTCTTCTGTCAGTAAGATAAGATTTAATCCATTGTAAGGCCGTACCAGTTATGTGAAAAGTTTGATAAAGTCTTCTTAAGAGAATTTCATGATCGACAGTATCGAATGCGGCAGACAAATCTAACAGGGTCAAGGACACAAGTTTACCACTATCTACGGAGCGCAGCAGATCATTTAGCACACAAAGGATAGTTGTCTCAGTGCTATGATGTGGTCTGTAAGCAGATTGAAATTTGTCTAAAAGATTTCGAGAAACTACGAAGGACTGTAGTCGATTGTTTATTGCCTTTTCAATGATTTTGGAGAGGAATGACAAATTTGAGACGGGTCTGTAATTCTTAAGCACATTCCGGTCAAGAGAAGTTTTCTTAATAAGGGGTCTTACAACGGCATCTTTATATATTAAAGGAAATACTCCTGTACTAAGACTTGTGTTCACAATCTGAGTAATGACTGGAAGAAGCAGATCAAGATATTCAACAAGGATATTTGTTGGAAGAGGATCGAGTAGACAAGTTGTCTTCTTAGATGATTTGATAAGTTTTTCAATTTCATCGTTAGAGAATGACTCAAAATATGTTAGATAATCTCCACATGTGGCTGAAAAAGGTGTAATGCCTTCAGCTTCTTCATTTTCACTGGAGTGATCTAATTGTTCACGTATTTGATTTATTTTGGATGAAAAGAATTGACAGAAAGAGTTTGCAAGATTGTCATCATCGTCAGATTTTGGTAGAATTATCTCAGTTGTAGTACCAAGTAGTGATTTCATAAAATTATGACACTGATTGGGAGACTTAAATTCATCCGTTAGCTTTTGAACGCAGTATGCGGATTTTGCATCTTTGATTGTCTTTGAGTATGCACCTCTTGCTTTTCGGTAGATTTGACGATGGACTTCTAGCAGAGAATGGCGATATTTTCGTTCCGCTTTACGACGATCTTCTTTTGCTATGAGAACATCTTTATTGTACCAAGACCTGCCAGGCCGGAGATATACCTTCTTAGTCACAATAGGGGCATGCTTATCAAGTAGGGCAAGTAAAGTGCTATTAAATTTACCGCACAGTTCGTTAAGCTCTATAGGTGTATTTGATAGGAGATCTGAAGACTTCAGGTCGTTGCTGAAAGCTTCCCTGTCTAATGATTTAATCTTCCTAAACGAAATGGTAACTGGCTGCAACTTCGGTTTTTCAAAATTCCATAGGGTTGAAACGAGATAGTGATCTGATATTTGAATATCAGTAACTGATGCACTTTGAATGAGAGTATCCTGCTAGTATCCAATATTTCAGACAAAATTTCACATTTTACAAATGCACAAGAATGCGTTTCGGCGCCATTTGTAACGAGGCTAGACATATTTCACAAGTCATGTCAAACGGTGTCACCATTATCTTATATCGAGAGTATGCGCAATAAATACTATCGGTGTAGGCTGGAATAACCAGACACTAGAGATTGAGACTTCTGGCGTATTTCGCCGAACATAACTGATTAGAAATTAGAGTAAAAACGGAAACAATTGAATGTAAATCAGTTTATATACATTCATATTACATTATTATATGCGTTGTGACCCATTTGTGTCAATTTCTAGGTCGCAAATATTAGCGATTTAGCCCCTTTAACAAAACCCTTTCATTCTAAATATATAGTAGGGGTTATTTTGAATATAGGCCTATAAAATAAAATTACAATTAATTGCTGACAGTGATTATGTTTCATTACATAAAACGATTTGTTCAGTGGCGGATCCAGTCGGGTGATAGGGGTCGAAGGGGCACGGGCCCCCGCTAAATGAAAGTATAAAAAATCTCTTATAATTCTGTTTGTATGGAACATGTAAATTTGATCAATGTGATGTTTGCGAGGATGAAATTGATTCTTATATTTGGGTCCAGATATGCGCTAGAAATCGCCAATGGCAACTCAATTTATTCCAAATGTTCTTCTCCGAGTCCACTCGCCTGTCCAACCTCGTGGGTTTTCTCCGGGTCCTCCGGTTTCCTCCCACTGCTAAAGACCCCTATGCACAAGCGAATTATTGAAATAAAATTAAACCATATGTTAGTCCGAGTCCACACTCCTATCATACTAAACTTAGGCTGTCTGTCTACAGTTAGCTCCGCCTAGAGAACAGACACTAAGCTATAGTTGGCCAACATTTTAAGTCCTTAATCGACGATTTTAGCCGAAAATACAAAGTTATATACTTAGAGAATTTTGTGAAGGATTTATTCTGCTTCCATTTAATAAAATTGAAAAAGTTTATTTAGTCTTTGCGTGTTTGACATATGTGAAAGGGAGTAGGCAGAACAGTAGGGCGTTGAACACCATTTCATTTCGAAACGAAGTACATGTAGAACTGCATTACAAAATTTTTAGATATGGCGGATATTTAGAACAGAGATTTATTCTCGAAGTATGAAGTAGATGGGTGTATATGTGCAGAATACACGCCCACCTAACCATATATCCATTGTACGCCCCTATATTTTTTTTGCGTATATAATAAACCGTTTATTCAATTATTTGGTACTATTAACAATAACTGTCATGTTGTATAGCCAGTATATAAGTCAAACTATCTATTATATTTATATACCTATTGTACTTTCTATATTAGTTATTATAAGACGCGTGTTTTGTTGTTTAGTTGAACTCAGGGCAGTTTTATCTATCAGGCCTGGTTTACTTTAGACATAGATCTTATTGTCAACAATAATCACTGTCTCATGCCGGTAGTCAGTCAACCAGTCGAGTTGTGGAATAGTGTGGAGGCCATATATAAATGACTAGTGACATTTGGTGTTTTAGGAAGACTAAGTATAAGTCTACCCTGCTTCGTGTACGATACCTTACAGTACAATATAGACGTCACGTCTAATCACTGTCTAATATTCAACATGGAGATATGCCTAGCTGTTGTGGAATGAGGTGTACGACACACGTGAAAAGTTATTAGCAAACTGGAGATAAAGTTTGAACGTAGCTTGATATAAATGGAAAAGTGTAACATTAATGGGAAGTGATATCAGGCCTTCTAGAAAGAGTAACCATACACTGCGTGGTACACATCAGTCAGCACTACTTACAACTAAACACGTAAGCACGACCTTTATGGTGCACAGCACTACTTATAACTCAACAAGAAGTGATATCAGATGTTCTAGAAATAGTAACCATACCCTGTCTGAAGTACTACACCCATCACTACTTATAACTCAACAAGACGTGGTAACAGATGTTCTAGAAATAGTAAGCATACCCTGTCTGAAGTACTACACCAACCGTTATACTTATAACTCAACAAGACGTGGTAACAGATGTTCTAGAAAGAGTAAAGATCCCTTGCCTAGTACACATCAGTCAGAACCACTTATAACTCAACAAAAGGTGTTATTAGGTGTTCTATAAAGAGTAAGCATACTCTGCCTAGTGGATACTATTAGAAGGTTGGGTAAAAGGCTGGAAACGGGTCGAAACAATCACGTTTGACCGCTTTTGAAAAATTTATTCGGAAACACTTGTATATTTAATTTTAAAGCGGACGTTAACGCAAGAAAGAAAAAGTTGAAACTAAAAGATCAACTATAGGGATTTTTTGTTCGCTTGGGATTTTTAATTTTTAAAATCAAGAAAGCTGATAAAAGCAAAAATCATGTGCGCGAAAATTGAAAGAAGTAAAATGATGTCTTTGAAAACTGTGGGTACGTCCATAACGGCGCTTATGCGTTTAGAGAAACAAAAGAATCGCGGGAAAAATTTGGGCGACAGCGGCTATTTTCAACGCCCCCTTCATCCCCCATCGAATCCTCAGAGGGTTCTAGAATCTCACTTTATAAAGAGACGCGAATCGTCAAGTTTAAACAAATCTGGTAGTTTTGTGAAGAATAAAGAAAAAACTCGAAATTATAAATCGACCGCGAAGCCTGATTTATTTGACTCTATGGGATCGGAGGGTAATGATAATTTTCGAGCAACGAAAACTAAACGAAGAAATATTGTGTGTTCTTCAAGTCAACAAGAATCAATAATTGAGGGAAGAGCCAGTGCTTGTGTTGAGGTAAGTACAAGACAGGGGGTTTGGCAAGGCACAAAGTATAGTCCGTTCGGATGAGACAATAAATCGAGGTCCCATACATATACACATTGGCATGAACATAAAAGACCCCTTCGCAGTTGGAATTCGATATAAGAGTAGGTCATAGGGCCGCTGCCTGGGCAAAATTTACTTCACAGCACAATGAATGACGTATGCCTGTCTTCTTTAGCCCAATCGAAGCAGAACAGTAGACGTTAAAACCCATTTCTGGTCATTTGAATTACAAGTGAAAAGTCAGGAGTGGACTAAAGTTACTCACACAGTTTATGGGATTTTTTGTAGTTTTATTGCCACGCATCTAGTCTTGAATTAACGGTTTTTTTTGATGAATTGGTAAGCTTGCCACATTTATCACGCCCACGGGACTAGGCTCGGAGGCCTTCTACCCCATTGCGTCCCTAGAGTTCAACAATATTTTATCAGATTGGAATTAATGTCTGTCAATAGAATTCATTTCGAGACAAATTCCGGCAATGGTGGCGTGAGGGGGGGTGGGTGGATGGCCGAATGGTTAGCGCGTGTGCTTTGCATCATAAGGTCTGTCATTGAGTCAACTGGCGTGGTTTAGATTCCCTGGTTGTACTTGACAAGGAGTAAGGTCGTCGCTTTCCAAACCTCGTGGGTTTTCTCAGAGTCGTCCCGTTTCCTCTCACTACTAAAGACCCCTATGCGCAAGCGAATTATTGAAATAAAAATTAAACCATGTTAGTCCTGAAATGACCTAGTTTGTGTTGGGTAGACGTTAAACCCTCTCTCTCTCTCTCTCTCTCTCTCTCGCCTGGTTGATTGATGTAAACAACGTGATTGTATTTCAGCCGTTGAAGAGGTTTCAGAAAGCTGTTAGAAAAATCATGATAATGGTACGTGTTGTTGGTAAAGGAAGGTGAGTGCACAGGGAAAATATGGGCGCCATTTAAAATTCTAAGCCCAAAAGAATGTGATAGAAACATCAATAATGTGAAAGCCGAAAGTGGCACCTTGTCCGAAATTCAAATTGTTTGGGGTTGTTTTGCCGCGGAAGGGTCAGGGCGTCTTACATGGATAATGCACCATATCGTATCATACACTATTTAGAATCAATTTATAATTTTATTTAACATTTGGAAAAAATAAGGGGCGTGCGACTGAATGTATATTATTTTTTGCTTGGGTATTGGATTACGTCGTTACCTAATACAAAATAGGAGGATTAAATGACGTGATTGTGTCAGTCTCAAGAAAGAGTTTACACGTATTGTTCTTTATTTTCCATACAGGGAGAGACCAAAGGGTTAACACATATTGTTCTTTATTTTCCATACAGGGAGACCAAAGGGTTAACACATATTGTTCTTTATTTCCCATATAGGGAGAGACCAAAGGAAACCGATAAAGATATGTTATCCTGGACTACCATATGTGATGACCTTGGTTTAACCAGGACGAACTATGCAAATCTAGGATTAACCTTTGACCCTACTGATTTCAAGGTCAAGAAAAAGGTATAAGTATTTAGAACTTTCAATCTCTTGTTAGTTGATAGATGTGTTTATTCAATTGTCATATAAGGACAGCGTCTAGTCGTTCGGATTGTCCGAAAATCTAAGGTCCCGCTTACACATGTACGTAGACGAACTCTTGATAGTCGGAAGATCGCATCAGCTTTTGACCTATGACGCCAGACATTTGATTAACCAATCAGCCATGATGTTTCTAGTGGGTCACCCACAGTTCCGTGCACCTCACGCCATAAACTCACCGTAACAGATCGTTTCATTGGCTAATTCCTCACATCATCCAGAACGTGGGTTATATAACACCTCATCCACATCCTAGTGTAGTACAGACAAGTAAAACGAAATTTTGAATTGTATAAAAAACGAAACGAAACAAGGATCTGTGGTTTAATCAAATTGTGTTCTATAGGGAAAATGTCGGGGTGTGGGGTTTATGGGGTTGGGGACAATCCACCCCCTTAATCTTTCAAAATGATTACAGGGGTGGATCCCTCACATCATCCAGAACGGAGGTTATATAACAACTCTTCCAGATCTTGTGTAGTAAAAACACCAAAAAAAACCCGAAAATAAAATAAGATCTGTGTTTTAATCCGATTGAGAATAGTCGGACGTTAAATCCCATTTATCTGTTGTTTCATTCCAGGGTCATATATCTAACGATGCTATAGTAGGACGTTAAATCCCATTTATCCGTTGTTTCATTCCAGGGTCATATATCTAACGATGCTATAGTGGGACGTTAAACCCCATTTATCCGTTGTTTCATTCTAGGGTCATATATCTAACGATGCTATAGTGGGACGTTAAACCCCATTTATTCGTTGTTTCATTCCAGGGTCATATATCTAACGATGCTATAGTAGGACGTTAAACCCCATTTATCCGTTGTTTCATTCCAGGGTCATATATCTAACGATGCTATAGTAGGACGTTAAACCCCATTTATCTGTTGTTTCATTCCAGGGTCATATATCTAACGATGCTATAGTAGGACGTTAAACCCCATTTATCTGTTGTTTCCTTCCAGGGTCATATATCTAACGATGCAATAGTAGGACGTTAAATCCCATTTATCCGTTGTTTCATTCCAGGGTCATATATCTAACGATGCTATAGTGGGACGTTAAACCCCATTTATTCGTTGTTTCATTCCAGGGTCATATATCTAACGATGCTATAGTAGGACGTTAAATCCCATTTATCCATTTGTTTCGTTCCAGGGTCATATATCTAACGATGCAATAGTAGGACGTTAAACCACATTTATCCGTTGTTTCATTCCAGGGTCATATATCTAACGATGCTATAGACGCGTTGTGTTTAAATCCAGTAGAGAGAACGGGGGAACAGATCAGACATTGTCTGGTATCTCTAAATACCATGATACCAGCCTTCAGTGAGTTTCCCATCAAGATGCAGACATCTTTAGTTCAAGTCGGCTGGTATGAAAAGTAAGTCTGCCTTTAATTTCGTAACATCGTTTTTTTTTTAAAAATTACATATTATATATAATATGGGGACACCATAATCTTGGGGGGGGGGGGTTAGCGCGTGCGTGTTGGATCATACGGTCTGTCATTAAGTCAACTGGAGTTGTTTCGATTCCCCGGTTGTACACGACACGGAGTAGGGTCGCCTGTCCAACCTCAAGACCTGTACACCCAAGCGAATTATTGAAATAATGATATTGAACCATATGCCTAGTTTGTCTCGAGTGGACATTAAACCCCATTCCTCTCTATATATAGATACTGGTATAAATGAATTATTTGAGTTTTAATTTTACTTATAGATTTGACCCTGGACGTGTTATTATAAGACAAGGTCAAAGGGCAGATAACTTTTATTTGATATTGTCAGGAGCAGGTAGGTATTGTTACTATGGAAGGGGTGAATTGCCTGCCGTGTCACGAGCTTATCAATAACAAGGTCGTTCACTGTCCATGTATTCAGAACGACTTTTATGTTCTTTACAATCTGATATTTCATTTCGTGAAATGAAATGAAATGGAGTTTAACGTCCTAATGTTCTGCTCCTAACTGAGCTAATGAAGACGGGCATACGCCATACAGTGTGCTATGAGGGCAATTTTGCCCGGGCAGCGGCACTGCGGCCTACTCTTATATCGAATTCCAACTGCCAAGGGATCTTTTACGTGCACGCCAATGTGTACACGGGACCTCGGTTTTTCGTCCCATCCGAACGACTAGACAGCTGTCCATGTCAGGCCCTCCGTCCTGCATCACTACCAAGGGGAAACCACGCTGGAAAATCTGGATGAACTTTCTCGGCCAATGCAGGGATCGAACACCCGACCTCCAGGCTAGCGAGCCAGTGTCTTACCCACTTAGCCACGTGATCCCCCATTTCGTTACATGAAGATCTAACCAGTTACAGTGAAAGGTCACGTCAGAGATCATACGAGCGATTTTTGACCTTATGATGTCAAACATTTGATTAACCAACCAGCGTTGATGTTTCTAGTAGGTTGCCCACAGTTCCGTGGTGCACCTCACGCCAAAATTCGCTGTAACGACCGTTTCATTGGGTAACCCCTCACATCATCCAGCAACAACTCTTCCAGATCTTAGTGTATTAAAGGGACAATAACACTCTTGCTGGAATAAATAATAGCCTTATTCTAAGTATTAGATGTTTAGATATGTTATGTGTCCTACCTGTTGTGTAAATTATCCATTACATCCTATTTTACTTGTCCAGAGGGTTCGAAAATATTTCTAAATTCAAGTCACATTTGAAAAGGTTTACGTTATGGTTTTCAAATCATTTAGTTGAATTTTTCCAACTTTTTAAATTAGGTGTGTCAAGATGAAATTGTATCATCAATTAATTGGAATATTGTAAAATAGTACAATTTGTTGACCAGAATAAAGATTGGGACATATTATTCAGTTACAACAAAAGTGGTATTGAGCCTTTAAAGACAAGTAAAACGAATTTTGAGCTATAAAAAACGAAATATGATCTGTGTTTTAATCCGATTGTGTACTATAGGAACATTGTCGATGTGTGGGTTTTACGGGAACCTCCCCTTAAACATGCATTATGCAAGAGCAAAATCTGCTTATTACAAGTCTTTCTTTAGGCCTGAAATGTTATCTAAATTATCAATTAGACATTAATTAACTTATCCAGACCATAATAAACTCTCGATGTCAAGGCTAGCCTTCGATGTTGGCTGGATTAGATTCCTATATGCCGCTAACGGCCAAAGATAATTAAATCAGAAAAAGCGGATAATCGAGACTATGCTGTTTATATTAATGATTTTAGTAATGATAACCGAGACTATGCAAAAATTTCACCGGCTTCTTTCTCGGCTCATAGTGGATCAATTTGACTGAAATTTTCAGCAAATTACCTTTACACTATCTAGTTTTTAACTATTATAGGGAGAACTGCCATCTCGTTATCTTATCTCCCATAATGTATCTTTAATTTTTCAAAATAAAGAGCTGCTTTGGGAGTTTGAGGGGGCGGATGTATTCAACCCTAAAGTATCTATTGGCATTGCAATTGGCCTTTTGAGAATCGCGTGTTGGCCGCTGATGGTCTCGGTCCAATTATTTACCATGCTCTATAGATCGTTAAGACTGTCATTGATTCTGTTGACTTGTCAGTGGAAAGGCATATAGGGCCGCCCGTCTAACCTCGTGGTGTTTCTCCGGGTCCTCCCGTTTCCTCCTATTGATAAAGATCCCTTGGCAGTTGGAATTCGATATAAGAGTAGGCCATAGTGCCGCTGTCCGGGCAAAATGTCCCTCATAGCACACTGTATGACGTATGCCCGTCTTCATTAGTCCAGTCGGAGCAGAACAGTAGGACGTTAAACCCCATTTCATTTATTTTCGCTTTATCGCAATCTTCTAGTAAATTAATTATGTGACTAGTGTTGGAAAGGAAGGGGCGGGGCGCAAAAAAGGTCTAGCCCAGCACATTTTTTTCCTCTAAAGGGACCTGAAATGATCTAGTTTGTGTCTCTTGTAATTAACGCTAAGTCTTGAAATTCTGTTCTTGTTCGTCACAGCGGTGGTTACTATATTAGAGAATAAACCAAGGACGAAGACGTCAACACACGAAGTTCATCAGCGACTGCCATCAGCAGACGACCATGACGTGTTAGGTGATATAATGGAAGAAGGAGAAGACGACGACGAGAAAGAAGAACAATATGTTAGAACGGCCGATATTCTTCATAAAGGATCAAGTTTTGGGGTGCGTTACGTTCCATTGACCCAATAACTTTCAGAAAGAAATGTGCTTTATCACTACAGACCCGCAGGGGCTAAGTGAGAGAGACGCATTGACGAGCTTTGCGTCATGGTTTTGACTTTTTGCGCCCCCTTCAATTGACAAAAAATCACATGGTTTTAATACGGCTTTCCACATTATAATCATAATCATAATACTCAACCAGTGTCAAATATATACCGTGGGTCAGATATACTACAAATCGACCCCCTCCCCCCACACACATATAAATATTGTTTTTTGGAGGCCAGGACAGAATCTTATTCCTCGTGCAAAATCATGGGTCACCACGCCCCTGTCCGGTACTATACAGCGCAATGGACGCTTACCGCGTGCTCCCGGATTCATTCACTTGATTTGATATATGTTTATGTAGTTTGTCCTCAGGATTTGTTTTCCATGTTGAGCGGTTCTCCTGCACTTTGAGTCTGTTCGATTGGTCACTAAGAAGAGGCACTACCCGCTCCCTATTGGCCACCTATTGGCCTTTGGGCGATTGGCGCCTCGTATTAGACATTCAGAATAACGTTAGAAAGTTGTTGGGAACTATTCCCCGGTTGTACGTGACAAGGAGTCGGGTCGCCTGTCCAGCCTCATGGGTTTCCTCCGGGTCCTCCGGTTTCCTCCCACTGCTAAAGACCCCTACGCGCAAGCGAATATGCTGAAATAGGATTGAACCATGTGTTAGTCCCAAAATGACCTAGTTTGTGTCGAGTCGACGTTAAACCCCATTTCTCTCTCCCTCTATCTACACCCAGACCATTGCACCTGATGTCAGTCGTGATGATTGGGTGTCGTGTACGAGGTGGTGTGTGCTTCCTCTTTATAGAACACTTATTACCACTGCTCGTTTATTGTAACCATTTGTTTATTTTGTGAACAGGAGATAGCATTGATACAAGGTTCCATCAGAACAGCCACGGTCACATGTCGTACACCAGTAGAGTTATTGGCCTTAGATAGAACTGATTATATTAATATATTCATGAAAGCTGAACGAGGCAAGGAACCGGAACATATCCAATTCCTCAAGAGAATGAATATATTTAAAGGATTCGCATTGGATAAAATACCGTGGAATGATCCGACAATTTGTGCCTTCACTTACGTCAGGTAAATAACTATCCATAATTTGGTAAAATAGGCAATCTAAATAAAATACAGATACTATTTCGTTTCGTTTTTATAGTTCAAAATTTCGTTTTACTTGTCTTTACTACACTGGGATCTGGAAGAGTTGTTATATAACAGGCGTTCTAGTTGATGTGAGGAATTAGCCAATGAAACGGTCTGTTACGGAACTGTGGGTAAACCCATAGAAACGCCAACGCTAATTGATTAATCAATGGCGTCATCAAAGGGTCAAAAGTCGCTTGTATGACTCCTGACGCGACCTCCCAGTACAACTGAGCAGATCTTCATGTAGTGTAGGCAATCGAAAGTATTAAAAAACGAAACGAAATATAGATCTGTATTTTAATTAGATTGAGAAGCTGTTTATCTGTTTGTTGTTTTTATTACCAGGAGAGAAACTATTTTGTGTGAAGACAGTAATAATTCCGAGTTAATATTTGTAATAATGACGGGCACCTGTCGTGTTATCAAATCATTACCTGCAGTCAAACCTAAACTGTACAGGTCAGAGGTCAGAGATTATGGTCTACATACACCCAGAACTAACAGTAAGTTATATACTTCTAGAACACCCTATAACACTTCTCATGTTTGCAAATAATTTATGTTGTGCTGATGTATATTTTCCTCTTTGTCAGTGGTGCAGGACGGAGGGCCTGGCGATGGCAGCAGTCTAGTCGTTTGGATGGGACGAGAAACCGAGGTCCCGTGTACACATTAACGTGCATGAAAAACATTCCTTGGCAGTTGAAATTCGATATAAGAGTAGGCGGTAAGCCGCTGTCCGGGCAAAATTGCCCTCATAGCACAATGTATGGAGTCTGTCAGCATTCATTAGTCAAGTCGGTCGGAGCAGAACGATAGGACGTTAAATCCCATTTCATGTCATTTCATTTCCGTGTTCCAGATCATAATCTAACCTTTAGTCAAGTTCCTGGCCAGGGGATGAATATAGCACGTGCAGCGCTCAGAAATCACGATCCAATTCTTATGATTCCGCCATGCCCAAGATAAAACTCGTTTTAAATTAAACTTTGATGAATTCTTTGGGTTAATTTAAGGAACAGAAAATATAAAAGTTCGGAGGACATTAACCAGAGAGAAGAAATCAACGCCTGGTGCTATACAGCTACCAACTAAATCTAAACTAGAAGCTGACATAGCATTGAGTCGATCTAGTACTATTCTATCAACCATAGCTAGAAAAACACCACAACAAGGTCAGTATTAAAACACTACATCAAGGTCAGTATTAAAACACTACATCTAGGTCAGTATTAAAACACTACATCAAGGTCAGTATTAAAACACCACATCAAGGTCAGTATTAAAACACCATAACAAGGTCAGTATTCAAACACCACATCAAGGTCAGTATTAAAACACCACATCAGTATTAAAACTAATGCATCAATATAAAGGATATGAAATGAAATGAAGTTTACCGCCCTGCTTCTCTGTACCATTGGGTCTAATAAAGACTGACAAACTGAATTTATTTTTTTAAAAAAAAGTAGTTAATTATAATCTAGATTCTAAATGCATACTTTAGGCTCTTGAATCAAAAGTTTTGACTTTTTGAAATGCCCAGTTTCTCGAGAGACCAACGAGGCATACAAATACTTTCATCATCATCATCATCCATCATCATCCATCATCCATCAGCAGCAGCAGCAGCATCATCATCAATTGTGTTTATATTTGTAGTTGCTGATGATGCTGAAGAACATATGAATATTATAAATGATGTCTTTAAGCGGAGACATGTTTTACCACCAATAGATCAAAACGTGAGTTTTATCAATAAACGATGTTTTACATCCCCACCCCCAATAGACCAAAACATGAGCATGAGTTATAAATAAAAGGGAGCCACCGTTTCTAAGTGGGTAAGACGCTGGCTCGCTAGCCTAGGGGTCGCGTGTTCGATCCCTGCATTGGCCGAGAAAGTTGACCGGAATTTTCCGACATAGTTTTCCCTAGTCAGTGGTGCAGGAAGGAGGGCCTGACAAGGACAGCTGTCTAGTCGTTCGGATGGGACGATAAACAACCGAGGTCCCGCGTATACATTGGCTTGCATGTAAAAGATGCCTTGGCAGTTGGAATTCGATATAAGAGTAGGCCATAGCGCCGCTGTCCGGAAAATGTCTGTATGGCGTCCGCCCGTCTTCATTAACCCAGTCGGACCAGAAGAGTAGGACGTTAAACCCCATTTCATTTAATTTGAACTTTTGTATTTTGAACACAGGATATTTCTGAACCAAATACCAGCATGTCCGGTTACACCATGGCTCAGCATCATCAAGCAGACGTACAGGATCAAATTTACATACAGATGACCAAATTAGGACGTGGAGATGTTTTTGTAAGTGACTTGATTTTAAAGACAGACCAGTTTATTCGCGCATGCCTCAAAAGTCAGAAATATGTAGGCCTACTTTGCCTACTATTTTAAGACAAAGGCCGTTGTTATTACATTATATATAATTCTAGCACACCAACAATTTAAAAATAGCTTGACAAAGAATAGGCTAGACGAAGAGAATGGCTGAATTATTATTATTTTATTTATAAACAGAAACTAATGTAAATGTTAAATGGTATTGAATCGGAAGGATGAATGTATGGCAATAGCGGACGGGGGGCTGTAACAATGGGCATATGGCTATAGAGGGGGCTGTAACCATGGGTTTATGTATGGCAATAGGGGGCGGGGCTGTAACCATGGAGATATGGCAATAGAGGGGCTGTAACCATGGGCGTATGGCTATAGAGGGAGCTGTAATCATGGGCGTATGTATGCAATAGTATTTTTACTCTGTGAATAGGGGGCGGGGGCTGAAACCATGGGCGTATGGCTATAGAGGGGGCTGTAAACATGGGCGTATAACAATGGGAGGGGGCTGTAACGTCCACTCGACACAAACCAGGTCATTTCGGGACTAAAATATGGTTCAATTTTATTTCTATAATTCGTTTGCGCGTAGAGGTCTTTATTTACATCCTATCGGCCTTGACAAACATTGAACTGACCTTGTCAAATAGATTTAGCCGGTTGGGTTCAAGCTGTTTTAAAGGCTCAATACCACTCTTGTTGTAACTGAATAATATGTCCCAATCTTTATTCTGGTCAACAAATTGTACTATTTTACAATATTCCAATTAAATGATGATACAAATTTCATCTTAACACACCTAATTTAAAAAATTGGAAAAATTCAACTAAATGATTTGAAAAGCCTAACGTAAACCTTTTCAAATGTGACTTGGATGTAAAGATATTTTCGAACCCTCTGGACAAGTAAAATAGGATGTAATGGATAATTTACACAACAGGTAGGACACTTAAACATCCAGTACTTAGAATAAGGCTATTATTTATTTTCTGGAGCTGCCAAGCCAGCAAGAGTTTTATTGTCTCTTTAAAGTTAAAGGATATAGTACCCTGATATTATTATAAATATTATGTATTGTTTTTATCAGGGGCTGGAGCAGGTTGTATTGAAGGGTATTGGTGAATCAACCAGCAGTACCCTCATATCAGAGGGAGCAGAATGCATCATCATAAACAAACAATTCTTCCGCAAATATCTCACACAACAATCGGCTAATCAAATCAGAAAAAAGGTAAATAATTCTCACACAAGATGCGTCATGGTTATGTGCTCGTGTCTCGATCTTCGCGTTCGTCCACTCGAGACAAACCAGGTCGTTTCGGAACCAGAGAGAAAGAGAGAAATGTGGTTTACCGTCCACTCGACAGAAACTAGGTCATTTCAAGACTAACATATGGTTGAATTTTTTATTTCAATAATTCGCTTGCGCGTAGGGGTCTTTAGCAGTGGGAGGAAAACGGAGGACCCGGAGAAAACCCATGAGGTTGGACAGGCATCCCTACTCTTTGTCATGTACAACCGAGTTGACTCAATGACAGACTTATTGATACAACGCGCAAGCGCTAACCATCCGGCCACTCCCGCCCAATTTCAGAACCAACACATGGTTCTATTTTCTCCATTATTTATTAGTGGGGGCAAAACGGAAAAAAACCTGCGAGGGTCTCTTCTAGGGAGCCCCGGTTGCTGGCATTAGCTCACTAACCAGGAATACCCGGTTTCGATGTCGACGTTTGCCGAGGAAGCCTTTAACACTAACGAAAGGAGGGCATGACATGGATCAAACAAAGAACTGAGGCCCACCCGTTTACGTGCAAAATGTCCCTCATGGCCCACTGCTGTCTGTGAAAAATGTCTCTCAGAGCCCACTACTGCCTGTGAAAAATGCCCCAGATAACACACTGTATGGCGTATGCCCATCTTCATTAGCCCAGTCGGCGCAGAACAGTAGGACGTTAAACCTCATTTCATTTCATTTGATTCTTTGTATCCGTCAAATTAATGTCCTTGTATGTAAACAGAGGAATTTTTCTTCTTTTTTTTTAAATTGTAGATTCAACCCTTCCCGTCTGAGGAAAGATTACGTCAGAAACTACAAACACAGATCGACTGGGAAGAATTTAAAAATCTAACAATTTTAGATTTTATAGACTTTAATAAACATGTTCAAAACGTGGCCTGGAAACATTAGCGTCGCCATACTACAGCCATTATTAGAATACCAAGTCTCGCGGTTTTCATATAAAATGTCTACCTGTGATAATCGGGTTGCTAAGTACAAGTTTCGTCAAATGTCAAGGTTACCGTGGCGTCGGCCATGTTTGATTTGAGTCTGTTAGTGTCACAACCTCTGATTGGACGCTACTGTTCACGTGTATTCTGTAAAGGGAGATACCGTAGCTATAAGATTGTGAATTGTAAAGCAGTGTAGCAATGCCTAGATGTTGTACAACTCGTGGTCGTTGCTTCAGGAACACAATGACACCCATGTGACTACATGGAAATATAGACCTTTACATTTTGAAATTTGATTAAGTTATTTAACGTCTCGTGCATCGTCCTTGTGGTCGCGCTGGTTTAATAAATATTTTTTACAAAAAGGCAACGAGATTCATTAATGATGTTTTCTATATTTATAACATGATTAAAGGAAACCTACTCTGATTGGAGGAAACTTACTCTGATTGGAGGAAACTTACTCTGATTGGAGGAAACCTACTCTGATTGGAGGAAAGTTACTCTGACTGGAGGGAAACTTACTCTGATTGGAGGAAACTTACTCTGATTGGAGGAAACCTACTCTGATTAGAGGAAACTTACTCTGATTGGAGTAGACCTACTCTGATTGGAGGTAAACCTACTCTGATTGGAGGAAAGTTACTCTGACTGGAGGGAAACCTACTCTGATTGGAGGAAACCTACACTGATTGGAGGTAAACCTACACTGATTGGAGGAAACCTACTCTGATTAGAGGAAACTTACTCTGATTGGAGTAGACCTACTCTGATTGGAGGTAAACCTACACTGATTGGAGGAAAGTTACTCTGATTAGAGGAAACTTACTCTGATTGGAGGAAAGTTACTCTGACTGGAGGGAAACCTACTCTGATTGGAGGAAACCTACACTGACTGGAGAGAAACCTACTCTGATTGGAGGAAACCTACACTGATTAGAGGAAACTTACTCTGATTGGAGGAAAACCTACTCTGATTGGAGGAAACCTATGGTATATATTTATAAGTGATGATATTTATACAGGACACATCAGATCTCATTTTGTACATCAAATATGATTAAAATACAAATTTCTCAGACATAACTATCGTTAAAAATCAATAGGCTTCTTCGGCTCATGACCTTAATCGGATGATAACTTTGGTTTCTAGAGTGTCAACACGACAGACAATGGTGACTACAATATACGACCGAATTCCGCTGTGGGTGTATAAATCCAGACACAAACAGACATTGTGTCTTACCCAAAAAAGCTGGATCAAGCCTATTTTTGTGGTTTATAAACCTGTAACGGTAATTAAATCTCTTTGATCTTTGGGGTATATTCTATGCCCGGAATAACTTGTGGTCTGAAAGTCGGGGGAGGTTTTGGATATATACAGGTAAATTTGGGGTTATTCTTCTGAAAGTTTTTCTTTAAACCTGTAACGGGTTATTCTTCCAGGGTAGGTTTTTCTTACGGGAATTCTGGGATATTCTCATCTTGCGTACATGTAAACATAGACGGTTTATAAGCAAGATAAAGTCCCTGACTGAGGTTATGCTGGGAGAAGAAAGACTTCAGAAAAAAAACCCTTGACAGAAAAACCTCGGTTTTTCTTTTTCTTGGGTTATTTTCTTCAGTCTTTCTTTCCCCATAACCTCAGTCGCGTGCTTTATCCTACACTAGTTTTTTAGGAAACACTTGTCCACGATATCACCCTTGGTGGAAGTGGACGTAAAACTCCACGAACGAACGAATAAGGCAAATTTAGGAATAGTACGTTCGACAAGACCCGACACTATCACCAAACCACCCCAGATGCCTTAAAGTCACCATATATATTTCTGGTATATTCATCTTGGTATGATGTAAATGTAGAATAAGACCGGGAGAGACAGGTTTAAGCGGCCCTTAACAATGAGAGAAACCCGATAGTAAATGTTGGCCAGGCAACCCTACTCCCTGTCATGTACAGACTTAGCATCAAAACCATGCCACTTGACTCAATGACAGAGAGAGAGAGGGAGAGAGAGAGATGGGGTTTAACATCCACTCGACACAAACTAGGTCATTTCGGGACAAACATATGGTTCAATTTTATTTCAATAATTCGTTTGTGGGTAGAGGTCTTTAGCAGTGGGAGGAAACCGGAGGACCCAGAGAAAAACCACGAGGTTGGACAGGCGACCCTAATCCTTGACAAGTACAACCGGGGATTCGAAACCATGCCAGTTGACTCAATGACAGGCCTTATGATACAGCGTACACATGCTAACCATTCGGTCACCCCCCCCCCCCCCCTGTCAATGACAGATCGTGTGATCTAAAGTGTATGACCATCTGACAAACCTTATGATCTAAAACTGCTAAAGACCCCTACGATCAAGCGAATAATTGAAATGAAATTGAACCATATGTTAGTCTCAAAATGAACTTGTTTGTGTCGAGTGGACATGGTAGTTACCCCCCCCCCCTTTCTCTCTTTTTTATGATCTAAAGCCCCCCCCCACCCGGCCAAACTTTATGATCCAGAATGAAATGAAATGGGGTTTAAAGTCCTACTGTTCTGCTCTCCTCTTGGGCTGATGAAGACAAAACTTACTATAATCTAAATAGAGAGAGAGAGAAATGGGGTTTAACGTCCACTCGACACAAACTAGGTCATTTCGGGACTAACATGTTTTTTTTTAAAATTTTATTTCAATAATTCGCTTGGGCGTAGGGGTCTTTAGCAGTGGGAGGAAACCGGAGGACCCGGAGAAAACCCACGAGGTTGGACAGGCGACCCTACTCCTTGTCACGTACAACCGGGGATTCGAAACCACGCCAGTCGACTCAATGACAGACTTTATGATACAACGCGCGCACGCTAACCATTCAGGCATCCAACCCCCCCATGATCTAAAGAAATGAACATGATTTACTATTACATATTAGTACATAATTAACCCCACTTTCTCTCTGTGGATCCCATATTTAACTAACACTGTCTGTCTACAGTTAGCTACTTCAGAACAGACATTAAGTTAGTGGACCGTCATTTTAATTCCTAAATCAACGATTATAGTCAAAAACACGAAGTATACTTTGAGACTTTTGTTAAGTATTTATTCTCCTTCTATTGAATAAAATTGAAAAAATTTATTTAATCTTTATGGGTACGTGAGTGATTAAGTACTCGCGCAAATATAAAAAATAATTTAATCAGAAATAATTGAATATCGTAATATTAATATAAAAAGCCGTAAACAATTTGTATGCCTTCATATTGATGCACTATTGCGCACGCGGCGTGTCTTTCCAGTTCCAACTGTTGTTACTAAAAATACTTTGAGACGCGTACTGCCAGGCGGTTTTTAAGCGGATGTCCTTTGGCGTGACTGGATAATCAAACATTGAGCGGATGTTGTCGTTTCTATTAATAGCAATTCTTTCGATCCCGCATCTTTTCTACAAATTGATGGGATTGAAATTGTTTTGGTTCTTTTACCTTTCTAAGCTTTACCCGAATCCCCTCAGCACGCCAACGATGGCAAAGGGAAACCCAGTTTCCCTTGCAACGTTATTGTCATGGGAAGACGATTTACAGATAATATTACTGCCAAGGAAATAAAAGAGTATGCATTGCCTTTGTGTGTGAAATAGCTTTATTCAACGTCCGCTTCCACCGAAGTGACAAGAGCATTGCCATTAGGCACATGGAATTTAAATAGTATACTAATTTTTGGATATGGCAGCCACTTTAGGACAGAGATCTATTCTATTCTCGAAATAGATAGTACTCTCTACACATTATTTACAATCAGAAATTAGCACATAATTAACTTTCTCTGTGGCTTCTTGTGATCAGACATTAGAACGCCAATTTGTCTCGCTCCATCTGTAAATATTATATACAACAAAATATATACAAATCACTTTTAAAAAGTGGAAACTTTTTACAAACAAACACAGCATTTAAATTTTTATCGTAAATTTCTCACATTTCTAAACAAACGCCAGAAAAAAATCTTGTTTAAATGTGGAATATAAAACAAAGTGTTGACTCTTTTCACAAAAAAAACAAACGCATAAATATACATATACGAGCTATGCTGTATAACAACCTAGTTCGTATCCTCTTAGTAAAAACAGCGCAATGATACACATGTCTGGTTGGAATAACCCGATTACACGCCAGTATGGTTGGGATAACAGTTTGTTAAAAGTTCGTTGACATTAATAGAATCAATGTCGTCTGGGTTATAGTCAGTGTTTGACTGCATCATTGTGATCTCGTCCATCTCAAAATTATCAGCAAGATTCATCGGCAACCTAAAAATACAACAAAGATAAAACGTAAATTAAATCAAATGGAATAACCTGTTGTCTCCCTTTAATTTATACCATAAATGAGAGGAAACCGGAGAAAACCCACAAGGTTGGCCAAGCCCCCCTACTTGTCACATACAACCAGGAAATCAAAACCATGCCAGTTGATGCAATGACAGACCTTATGATAAGATACAACACGCATGCGCTAACCATTCGGTCATCCAACCCCCCCCCCCCCCCCCCCGCAAAATACAACAGAGAGAGAGAGAGAGAGATGGGGTTAAATATCCACTTAACACAAACTAGGTCTTTTGAGGTTAATCTTATTTCAATAATTCATTTGTGCCTAGAGACCTTTACCAGTGGTAGGAAATCAGGGGACCCAGACAAAAACAGTGGGGGGTAGTCAGCTGACCTTTCTCCTGGTCACACATTCTTTGGTACCTTAAAATGGACACAAATGGTGGTGACAAAATAATCTCACTGTGTTTCTTAGGTTGATACTGTGAGATTAAACAGCATGCTCCTTTAAACAGCATGCGTTCGACCACTGGTCAACCCCTCTTTCATTGACTGACTACTTACTGTCTATCATTTAAGTTTGTCATGGGACTGGATGCATCGTTGAGTGAATACCACCCCCCCTTTTATAGACAGATGGAGGGGTCAAGGGGGCTAAGTGAGTAAGACGCTGGCTCGCTAGCCTGGAGGTCGGGTGTTCGATCCCTGTATTAGCCGAGAAAGTTCATCCAGATTTTCTGGCGTGGGTCCCTCTTGTGAGTGATGGAGGACGGAGCACCTGACAAGGACAGCTCTCTAGTCGTTCGGATGGGACAAACGACTGAGGTCCCGTGTACATAGTGATGTGCATGAAAATGATCCCTTGACAGTTGGAACTCGATGCAAGAGTAGGACGTAGTGCCGCTATCCGAGCAAAATTTCCCTCATAGCACATTGCATAGCGTATGACCGTCTTCATTAGCCCAGTTTGGAGCAGAACAGTAGGGAGAGAGAGAGAAATGGGGTTTAATGTCCACTCGACACAAACTAGGTCATTTTGGGACTAACATATGGTTTCATTTTATTTCAATAATTTGCATGCGCGTAGGGGTCTTTAGCAGTGGGAGGAAACCGGAGGACCCGGAGAAAACACACGAGGTTGGACAGAACAGTAGGACGTTAAACCCCATTTCATTTCATTTCATAGAAAGAGGTGAAGCAATGACTGACTACTTACTGTGCATCATTCCAGCTTGACACAGGACTGGACGCATCATAGAGTGAATTACTTGGTGACATGGGATTCATGATCTGAGGGGTCTGAGGATTATCTGTACTCCTGAAATAATCAAATAATTAACATCAAGGTCGGTCATCGTCTTTCAGTTTAGACAGAGAAAGGGGGTTTAAAGGGACTATCCCGATTAGAACAAAGTCTTAAAAATAAAAGTCTGAGTACGTATGAAATGTAAGTGCCAAAATATAGAGGAATGGTGTATTTACCTTGTCTCAAAGTTTCAGTTCAAAATATTAAGTCGTTTGGGCGTGAACGTCAAAACTGCTTATCCGGACACATAACCCTTTTAAGATTTCGGGTCAATTTTTTGTTAGGTGACCTGATAATTGATTCCCGTTCCTTTAGAGGTCTATACAATGAATGACCAATGTGCTGTACTTGATAACGAAAGGTAAACTTCAATTACACGTAATTTTTATAAAATCAAAGCCTGGTTTTATCCAGACACCCCATAAACAGCTTGGGACACCAGTCTCCATTCCCAGATGAAGACTGACAGGTTTAAGTTGTTTGAAAATATATCACATATATTGAGTTAGTTGCTCTGCCCTTAGGAAGAGGATTTTAAGGGATTTTAACACAAAATTAAGCAGTTTTATTCTCCAAAATATTATCCGGGATTGACCCTTTAAGGGCTAGCCGGTTCTATACCGAACAAGAGTGGAAATAGGTTGCTATCTGACTTGTACATCGACACAAACTATAAAGAATATTGCCTAGTATCAACCGCTGTTTACCTTGTGTAAATCAAATTCAAAGCATGTGATTATCAATATCAACCCATAATGACTTTACAGAAGGTTGATATTGGGGAATAGTCTGTAAAACATGAATAGTTGCTATAGGAGATAGTCTGGAGGTGTGTAAACATGAATAGTTGCTATGGGAGATAACGTCTGAAGGTGTGTAAACATGAATAGTTGCTATAGGAGATATAAGTCTGGAGGTGTGTAAAACATCAATTGTTGCTATGGGAGATAGTCTGAAGGTGTGTAAACATGAATAGTTGCTATAGGAGATAGACTGGAGGTGTGTAAACATGAATAGTTGCTATGGGAGATATAGTCTGGAGGTGTGTAAACATGAATAGTTGCTATGGGAGATATAGTCTGGAGGTGTGTAAACATGAATAGTTGCTATAGGAGATATAGTCTGGAGGTGTGTAAACATCAATAGTTGCTATGGGAGATATAGTCTGGAGGTGTGTAAACATCAATAGTTGCTATGGGAGATATAGTCTGGAGGTGTGTAAACATGAATAGTTGCTATAGGAGATATAGTCTGGAGGTGTGTAAACATCAATAGTTGCTATAGGAGATATAGTCTGGAGGTGTGTAAACATGAATAGTTGCTATGGGAGATAGTCTGGAGGTGTGTAAACATGAATAGTTGCTAAGGGAGATATATAGTACTAACCAGTTTATAACATTAACTAGATGTGGTTTGATATAACCATCAGCAGATTGATGAGGTTGATCTGAAAATATACAAATATATCCTAGTTTATACTAGTCATTGTAACAGTTTATATATTACTAGTCATTATATTATATATTACTAGTTATTATATTATATATTACTAATCATTATATTATATATTACTTATTATTTATATATTACATGTCTGTACAGTTTATATACTAGTCATTGTGACATGTCTGGGCATTATTAGAGAATATTGCAAATACCTAAGCTTAAACTATTCAAATTTCTAAATTAGTATACATACTTCCAAATTAATATACAAATTTCTAAATTAATATACATTCCTAAATTAAAATACATACTTCTAAATTAATATGAATGTTTCTAAATTCATATACATATTTCTAATTACATATTTCTAAATTAATATAAATATTTCTAAATTAATATAAATATTTCTAAATTAATATAAATATTTCTAAATATATATTTCTAATTACATATTTCTAAATTAATATAAATATTTCTAAATACATACACATATTTCTAGATTAATATACATATTTAAAAGTTTGGCCACGCAAACTGAAAGTTTTGTTCTTTGTTATTTAACCCGTTAACTGCGTAGGACGTTATATAACGTCCTGGACAACTGCCACTCACCGTGTGTAGGACGTAATATAACGCCTTGGAGGTATTTTCCCCAAACTATTCTTTGAACACAATCGCAGCATGTGTAGGACGTTATATTACGCCTGGTCGAGGAAATCTAATTGAAGGGAGACAACTCTATTTACCGTTAGTTTTAATATGGTTTCAGACCACTAAAATTTCTATTCAGGAATAAATAGGTCCAAAAATGATTACACAATAGGGGGTAGTTAACGTTTTAAAAACTACGCAGTTAAGGGGTTAATGAATTAAGATATTATTATACGTACCAATGGTCAGTGTGTAATATTTACTGAAGGCTGAATCTTTTGGAACATCAGGATACAACCAGACTAAATTACTTAGATCTTTTATACGATCAGACAGTGATCTTATTACAAAATCTTTCGCTACAAACGGGGCCAAATTCCAAACCCCTGTTTCCGCTACAATCAAAAAAAAAAAAGGAGAAAAATTACAAAAGAATCTGACATTTAACGTAAAGAAGGGCTAATCCAATGCTAACCACAGCCACCTGTAAGTCGCATGAACAATCATTGAAGACTTGGTTGTCTACTTAGCGAAAATTAGTGAGTATTGCCACTGGTTGACGGAATCTAGAGTATTGAACTTTGATCCCAATTATTTAATTCCAATCCGTCATATATCTATTATTTACCCGGTTCTTTTAAATGCACGACGTTGTGTAAAGGGGACCTCAGTTTTTCGTTCCAACTGAACCGAACGACTATACATTGTCCTGTTCTGCACCACTGACATGTGGAAAACACGCGGGAAAATCCTGATGAACTTTCTTGGCCAACACCACGAACTCCAGATTAGCGAGCCAGCGTCTTACTCACTTAGCCACCGAGGCTCACTGTATAGTAGACTAACCTTGAACCCATGCAATGGTTATACCACCGATCTCAGAATCACTGAATCGCAACAGGAATGTTCCATTCGGCCGTGCTAACAACCATTCTTGAGCCTTGGCTTTACTTACAAATCCCAGAATAGACCTGAAAAACACCATAGGGATATTAAATATTATGTATGTCATTAAGGAGAGGGTAAAATATATGACAGGGATATTATATCAATAATGGTTTAATATTTACAAATATAATATCATGTATTGAAAATTCCATAGATCTATGCTGCTTCTTATGTAACTGCCATCTTTATTTGTTGTGAATCAAATTGATCTGCCTATTTTAAATCTGACTAAATCCAATCTGGAAATTTGTCTTTTTAATTAAATAAAGAGAGGGAAATGGGGTTTAACGTCCACTCGATACAAACTTGGTAATTTTGGGACTAACATATCGTTCAATTTTATTTCAATAATTTGCTTGCACGTAGGGGTCTTTAGAAGTGGGAGGAGGCCAGAGGACCTGGAGAAAACCCACGAAGTTGGACAGGCGATCCTTCTCCTTTTCACGTACAAGCGGGGAATTAAAACAAAGCCACTTGACTCAATAACAGACCTTATGATACAACACGTTAGCCTAACCATTCGGCAACCCAACCCCTTTAATGAAATATCAAATAATCTATGTAGATATCAGCATGGATTGAGATTTGTGTTAAATAATGGTATTTACCCATCATTCCACTGTTCTTTAAGATGCTGCATGGTTAATTTATACATGGCGTAAAACCATTCCCAGAAGCTAAAATTACGAGCAGGAAGTGCATCTTTGTTAAACTGACTCCATGATACCAGACGTGAATTATAATCGTCTCCTATTGGACCATCTACAAAATATATCATCACATACATTACACTGGAGACAAAACCAAAATTATACAGCTGGCCTCCTGATCCTTTCACTTGATTTGATATTGTGTTGTTTATTTCTTACAATGTTTGTGTAGTAGTCTGTGCTGTCCGCAGGTTTGTGTTGTCCGCAGGTTTGTGTTGTGTCCACAGGTTTGTGTTGTGTCCACAGGTTTGTCCTGTCCGTAGGTTTGTGTTGTCCACAGGTTTGTCTTATCCATTTTGTTTGCATGTAGTGCTGTCTGCACTTACTAATAAATATAAAAGACATTCAACCAATTCAGGGTCATGAATGAAAAGTTTTTACAAAAAAAAACAACTGAGTTTATAACTTACTAAATATTTTTGAGGCAAGATACTGAATATTGTCATCACTCAAACCTCGTCCGGTTCCCGACTGAAACTTGATATTTAACTGCTCTGCTAATTTCGGCCACGGCACTGACTCTGGAACTTGGAATGGAACACGACCCTAAAATAAATCGGATTTAAACATGAGTATAAAAGTGGTATCAGATGTTCTAGAAATAGTGAGGGTTTGATCCCGGGGTTAGCCGAGAAATTTGATCAGCATTTTCCGACGTGCTTTCCACTTTTCAGAGGAGCAGGACGGAGGGCCTGACAATGACAGCTGTCTAGACATTTGGATAGGATGAATAACAGAGGTCTCTTGTACATATTGGCGTGCACGTAAAAGATCCCTCGGCAGTTGGAATTTAATATAAGAGTATGCTGTAGCGCCGCTGCCCGGGCAAAATTTTCATCATAGCACATTGTATGGCGTATGCCCGTCTTCATTAGCCCTGTCTGTATCACTGACAAGGGGAAACCATGCTGAAAATCTCAAGGAACATCAGGATTTAACCTAGGAACTCAAAGTTAGTAAATCACAACAGCTCCCTACAAGAATTAAAACTTCAAAGGTAATACACATAAGATTTCAGCCGATATTATTAAAGGTCACCAGAAAAGGTTCATAAATTTTTTAAACAATTCAAGTAATTATGTCAACATATCCTTTCCAAAAAATATAACACGAACCTGAATGTCAATATTACCTGCAACAGCTCAATTTCAACATTAGTAATTTCCGCCATTCTCCGTAGGTAGTCGTAAGTTTCCGTAAATAAACAATCTGTGACGTCATTTTAGTCCTTCTGCTCATATTCTATTCTATATTTCTATGTGCAGAAGGACTAAAATGACGTCACGGATTGCTTATTTACGGAAAGTTACGACTACCCACGGAGAACAGCGGAAATTACTAACGTTGAAATTTACCTGTTGCAAGTAATATTGCCATTTGGGTTCGGGTTATACTTATGGAAAGGATATGTTGACATAATTACTTGCATTATTTAAAAAAAAATTGATGCTTTTCCGGTGACCTTTAATCTACCAATTTTTGTAGGTTAAAAAAATTGTAAATTAATATATCTTACATGTTCTGAGAATGCATTATCCCACAATACTGTTGCTAAGGCGTTAGATTCCTGGTTGCCATGGACAGTTACAACAACAGGTAATGATAAACTCTGCAAAAAAACAAAAATATGGCTGATTTATTTTACTTCGTCTGTTTTATCAAAGATTGAACTTTGTTTTCCAGACATTTATATAACAAGATCAAATACAGTCCACTTATCCGACAATCTACTACCCGGAGACCTCAACTTCCTGTATAAATCAAAAAAAATCAAACTCTACCATGACTACAACGATTACAAGCAGCGAATCATAGACACAGTTTTAATTGGTAGAATATAACGATGAATTCACTGTAAGAGACATGAATTCCCTACAAGCGTATTACTTAACACACGACACAATTATATGGAATACAAGTTATTTGAAGGATTTATTTCAGCGACGTTTCAAAGAGGTTTCTTCCGTCTTTATCGTTTTTTGCTTGATAAAGACGAGAGAATCCTCGTTGAAACGTCGCTGAAATAACTAGGTCATTTCGGGACTAACATATGGTTTAATTTCATTACAATAATTCGCTTGCGCGTAGGGGTCTTTAGCAATGGAAGGAAACCGGAGGACCGGGAGAAAACCCACGAGGTTGGACGTTGGGGTGTTTAGCAGTGGGAGAAAACCGGGGGACCCGGAGAAACCAACGAGGTTGGACAGTCAACCCTACTCCTTGTCACGTACAACCGGGGGATTCAAAACCACGCCAGTTGACTCAATGATAGGTCTTATGATACAGCACGCACGTGCTAACCATTCGGCCATCCAATCCCCCTAAACTCTTCAAGTAACTTGTATTCTATATAATTGTGGCATGTGTTATTCTCATCCAGTGACTAAATGCTACTTAAACAATTTAAGCATATTTACATACATCCTGGTCCATCGGGTTGTCATGAAATGTTCAGTGGACTCAAATATTTCAACATTGACAAAGCAGAGAGAGAGAGAGAGACAGACAGACGGACAGACTAAACTTACCCAAACTTGGAAAACCAATTCGTTTCCACCAATACTAAAATCAGATTGAAATAATATACAGAACTTTTCTTCTGTTACCGCCTGCAAAATACAAAATAATATCAAAATATTACGGCTGTACATTGTGGCCAAAAATCGTATTGTTTAAGGAGTATTCCAAAATTTCAAAAAATTAAACCAAGGTCCTAATGATGTGAACATTAGTCCTATTTTGTTAGGTAAATTCAAAATAAAATGAAATGGGGATTAAAGTCCTACTGTTCTGCTCCAGCTGGGCTAATGAAGATAGCAGGTAAATTCAATGTTTATTTGTATAATATGGGCCATGTGAACACTGGTCATTAAATAATCCATCCCTGTAGAGTGTGTAAAATAGATTTAACGGCCCCTTCTACCGAAGTGATATCGCCGACAATCCCTGTAGGGAAGATAACTCTTGTTTTATACTTACATCAGTTCCTTTACGATCTGATCGCTTGATACGTTTTAACTGCTGTAAAATATAAATAAATAAAATATAAATAAAATATTTATTACAAAACGGGAGTATTCCGTCTTAATGGACAATCTGATATAAAAGCAGTGTATAAAAAAACAGGAGAACTCCAGATCGGAAACGCAGTCGTTGTTTGTATTTTAGGGGAGAGCTCTAAAAAGCTCCCCTTAATTAACATATTGAAAAAATCGCGCCCCTAAAAAAGCTTTCCCAGTTTCGGTAAGAAGAATGATTTAAAAATTAAGGAGAGTGATCTGCTATTAGGGAGGGTGATTAGTTGTGTGTATAGGAAATGGTTCTGAAGATCAATAACTGCATATTAGAGGATCATTCCTGGTTTCATAAAAGACAATAAACCCCCGATGACTTTGTAAAGGAGAGCGATTTTTAATTTTAAGGGGAGGGAGAAAAACCTCCCCTCGGTTGACATTCAGGTGAGCAGCAGGCGCTCGAGAGCGATAGCTCACCTTAAAAAACAATGACTGGAAGCGGTCCTGCACATTTTAGCACATACAAAGTCATATATGGATTGTTGGTTAGGTTAGGGTTTGGACCTGTAGATTTCGTCAAAGTCTCCTGATATAAACAGAGCTAGTGTTAATTCTAATCCTGGACCAAGCCTAACCCCAACCCACAATCCACATATGACGTCAAATGTGCAGGACCATCTGCGATCTAGTGTTCTCTAAAAATATAAGCAATAGGCCTAAAATGAGTTATTCTTGTGCCTGTAAATTGTCTTTTTTTTCCGTGTGGGGCAGAAAAGTAAATTTCTTCGGCTCAACTAAAACGGTTATTTCCAGGCCCTGATTCAGGCAATGGTGGTGACAAACTAATCACAATGTGTCCCTTAAATTTATACTGTGAGATATTAATATTAAATGTTGTTTTTGCATAAACGAATTGATAGATGCAGATAAATTCTATTAATTACCGAGGATCGTGTTTTTATCATGTCTTAATGACGTGAGAGTGTCGCAAATAAATATGGTTGTGTCACATTTGATCGGTGGGTTTTTAATTTAATTATTTATAATCTGTGTCTCTGTCTCTTCCTTCTATCTCACCATCCTTTCTCCCCCTCCTCTCTCTTTCTCCCCCTCCTCGGTCTTTCCCCTGCTCTCTCCCCATTCTTTCTCCCCCTCCTCTCTCTTTCCCTTGCTCTCTCCCCATTCTTTCTCCCCCTCCTCTCTCTTTCCCCTGCTCTCTCCCCATTCTTTCTCCCCCTCCTCTCTCTTTCTCCCCCTCCTCTCTCCCCATTCTTTCTCCCCCTCCTCTCTCTTTCTCCCCCTCCTCGGTCTTTCCCCTGCTCTCTCCCCATTCTTTCTCCCCCTCCTCTCTCTTTCTCCCCCTCCTCTCTCCCCATTCTTTCTCCCCCTCCTCTCTCCCCATTCTTTCTCCCCCTCCTCTCTCTTTCCCCTGCTCTCTCCCCATTCTTTCCCCTGCTCTCTCCCCATTCTTTCTCCCCCTCCTCTCTCTTTCCCCTGCTCTCTCCCCATTCTTTCTCCCCCTCCTCTCTCTTTCCCCTGCTCTCTCCCCATTCTTTCTCCCCCTCCTCTCTCTTTCCCCTGCTCTCTCCCCATTCTTTCTCCCCCTCCTCTCTCTTTCCCCTGCTCTCTCCCCATTCTTTCTCCCCCTCCTCTCTCTTTCTCCCCCTCCTCTCTCTTTCCCCTGCTCTCTCCCCATTCTTTCTCCCCCTCCTCTCTCTTTCCCCTGCTCTCTCCCCATTCTTTCTCCCCCTCCTCTCTCTTTCCCCTGCTCTCTCCCCATTCTTTCTCCCCCTCCTCTCTCTTTCCCCTGCTCTCTCCCCATTCTTTCTCCCCCTCCTCTCTCTTTCCCCTGCTCTCTCCCCATTCTTTCCCCTGCTCTCTCCCCATTCTTTCTCCCTCTCCTCTCTCTTTCCCCTGCTCTCTCCCCATTCTTTCTCCCCCTCCTCTCTCTTTCCCCTGCTCTCTCCCCATTCTTTCTCCCTCTCCTCTCTCTTTCCCCTGCTCTCTCCCCATTCTTTCTCCCCCTCCTCTCTCTTTCCCCTGCTCTCTCCCCATTCTTTCTCCCCCTGCTCTCTCCCCATTCTTTCTCCCCCTCCTCTCTCTTTCCCCTGCTCTCTCCCCATTCTTTCTCTCCCTCCTCTCTCTTTCCCCTCCTCTCTCCCCATTCTTTCTCCCCCTCCTCTCTCTTTCCCCTGCTCTCTCCCCATTCTTTCTCCCCCTCCTCTCTCTTTCCCCTGCTCTCTCCCCATTCTTTCTCCACCTCCTCTCTCTTTCCCCTGCTCTCTCCCCATTCTTTCTCCCCCTCCTCTCTCTTTCCCCTGCTCTCTCCCCATTCTTTCTCCCCCTCCTCTCTCTTTCCCCTGCTCTCTCCCCATTCTTTCTCCCCCTCCTCTCTCGCCATTCTTTCTCCCTCTTCTCTCTCTTTCCCCCGCTCTCTTTCCCACCCCCCTCTTTCCCACCCCCTTCCTCTCTTTCTGCCTCTTCTCTCTCTTTCCCCCGCTCTCTTTCCCACCCCCTCTTTCCCACCCCCTTCCTCTCTTCCTCCCTTTCTGCCTCTCCCTCTCATCTCTCCCCCCAAATAAAACTGTTTATTTGCACGCCCGATTCTGAAAATGGAGGCTGTAAACTAGTCTCACCATGTTTCTAAAATTTATACTAAGTTGTCCAGTTGTCTGCTGATACTCCATCGTACCGACGTTGTTTAATATTTCACCGCTAGTTTCATTCTTCGCTTTAACATCTGTCTGTAGTAAATTCTTCGCCTGATTCTCACTGAAATTAAATTTTTAATATCACCAAGTTCGTTAAATATCAGGGGAGCTGAACTTGGGCATCTTGCCTAGAAAGTGGGTCAAGAAGATTTTTCAAGTCTGATTCTCTGTTGCCACTTCAAATGCTTAATTTATAAGCCCGTAAAATTCATAACTAAACTTAACTAAATCACAACGTTTAAATACATCATAAATCATCAATAAATAAAAGCCACAATTAAATTTAGTTTATTAGCATGGCGGAAAAGCTAAATTCCCAGCTAATAATCGGAATAGTTACTATTCCCATACGTATTTCAGGTCGCGGTACAAGGACAAGTGATGAATTCAGATGCTTATATACCCACTTACCCGCGAAATGCACATGCGATTAGCGCTAAGTGTCGATAATTCGAATGCCGATTTGATTGGTCGTGTGTAGCTAATCACATAACACATAACGAAAGCTCAAGACGTAAACCAAGCACAGACGACTTCTGACAGGTAAATAATGAAAATTAACAATTATTTATGTATTATGGTAAACAAACAAATGTTCAATGCTCAAGTGGTCCGAAACACCAAAGTAGAGAGTGTTTTCATTATATTACAAGTAGTTTTAAAGAATGTCGTTTGCTAGTTTTTTGTTGAAGAGATTTTCAAAAAACTGAAAACTCCCACAAGTGAAGAGTCTAAGGGAAGAACGATCTAAGTCACATTTTTGTCTTTTCACATAAAAAGGAAAACAGACTTTTGGGCGAGAAAGCTTGACACGAACAGAACAACGAGTGGGTTTAATTACGACTTCAAGATGATGTTTAATACGAATCATAATTACCAGTACAACAACTGACTTCCACTTTTCAGGCAAATTAAGGTCAAATAAAGGGTACGATGGACGTATATGTCCGGGAGGCCATTTCAGAAGGGCCTTGGTTCGATGTGACTCCAATCGTTTTTACCTGAAACTGATGCCGCCATTAACTGGGGTTCGTTGAAAAATGTGGCTTAGATCTTTCTTCCCCGGGCTCTTCAATTATCTGACATGTTTATTATAATTAATGAAATCTACCTGATAATAGTAGCCTTGACCTGTGGTGGGTTCATGTGAACGTTTAATTTTCCTCCGACCAATAACCGAACACTTGCCGTAAATCTTGAATCTTTCTTCATAACTTGTGGCGGCTGAGTCTCAACAATAAATGTACTACAAATATAAATTAAAAAAAAAAACAATAAAAACTTTCTCCCACTATAAATGTAGCAATTTTTCATCTTACTAAAAACCAAACACTCGCAGCGAATCACAAATAAATGTACTATAAATACAAGATAGAAAAATCTCCCTCTCTCTACTACTACATAAAAGCTATTTAATTCTACTTGGCATTTTACTACTGTCTTATAAAAATGGTTATTTATACAAGGTTTTTCCATCAAGGTGTCTACATTGAGATTTGTTGTAGCACATAGCTGATCATGAATCACACCATATACAACATTTAGGGTAATATTCCTCTTTTCCTTGAGTTGTTTCCGTTAATATCAGGTCAAATACATCAATTTGAAGGAGCACTTGACACAGTTATTCCTCTGTATGTATCAACCTCTGTATATGGTTCAATTTTATTTCAATAATTAGCTTGCATGTAGGGATCTTTAGAAGTGGGAGGAAACTGGAGGACCAGGAGAAAACCCACGAGGTTGAACAGGCGACCCTACTCGTTATGTAACAACCTGGGAATTGATACCACGCCAATTGTCAGACCTTATGATACAACGCACAAGCGCTAACCATTCTGCCTTCCAAACCCCCCCCTCCCCAATCTAAAGTAACACATGACACAACAATTATATAGAATACAAGTTTCTTGTATATTTATTTCTGGTGACATTTCAACAAGGCTTTTCGTGTGGTTATCAAGCAAGGAATCCCTCGTACATACATCACCAGATATAAACTTCTAATTTATATTCCATGTAGTTGTGTCATTCTATTTAGTTAAAGAAAGATAATTATCTCACCTGGTAACCAATGACGACAGAAGACTCGTTATAGTTTCTAATAAGTCAGGTAAATGATCAACTTGTCTAGGTGGTAAATCTATAGGTAATGTAACTCGCAGTAACAAAACACCTTTAATCTGTTGTCTGTTACTCCATATTATCTCCGCTAAAGTTTCACACCTGAAAATACAAATCTTTCATTTATCATTCAAGTCATTTTCTAGTTGTAAAGCCATTTTTGAAATTAGAGTCTAATCCTTGAAGGCTTCACATTGTAAAAGGTCTGCTCATTGGCATGTAGTTGCTCTGTGAAGACTGGATATTAGTACAGACTGAGAATGCACGGGTTAGCAGTTTATCGGAAGATTTTGTAATCCACGCCGACAGTTTGAAATAAGGAGACTGTTGACAGCGAAAGAGAAGGAAATGGGGTTAAACGTCTACTCAACACAACCATTTCACTCGACTGAGAAAGAGAAATGGGGTTTAACGTCCACTCGACACAAACCCTAACCCTAACCCCTAACCTTGCACATAGGGGTCTTTAGCAGTGGGAGGAAACCAGAGGACCCGGAGAATCCCACAAGTGTATTAAAATTGCTAGAATTTTTGCTCTTGAAATTAATGGTGGCAGTATATTTCATTAATTAATATGTTTGGCAAGTTATTAGATTCACATATATGTAGTCTTGTATAACTTAAATCAACTTAGTGAAAAATTGACAGGTTGACACATAAAAAGAGTTATAGAGCCAAAACATGTGTCTATAAAATACCACGAGATTAGACGTGAGTGGAAATATACTAATTTCATCATTTGGCTTAATTTAACCAATCATATCAGAAATTACACAGGTTAAAGGCTATGAACAGGCGTTTTTGTGCATGATATCCAGGAGTCCTATAAAAGAAATCATGGTAAATTTTTATGGCAGACTTTCATTAGATTCCGGAGAATCGCCCAGCGAGTCTGACTGGATGAGGTTTGAGAGAATGATTTATTCTATTTTGCATTGTATCCATATGTAAGCAGGTATGGTATATAAAATGTAAAAGCGAACTGTTGCATTGTTATTCCTGGTAAGACAAACGTCTTAAGAAAACAGTAAGAAGTAAATACACAACGTGAAGCAGAAGCAAAGACAGCTAGAGACTAATTCTAGACGATCACAAGGCTACTAAGATATGTAGTAAGAAAAGATGCATGGGTCATACGTAGAATGTTGCGACCGGTTTTAGTACGTGCCCGCTCTACACGTCTGACAGAAGGCCCATGGTGCTACACAAGGTTGGACAGGTGACCTGACTCCTTGTCATGTACAACTGGGGAATCAAAACCATGCCAGTTGACTCATGACAGACCTTATGATACAGCGCTCACGTGCTAACCATTCGGCCATCCAACCCACCGACTTGATGACAGATCATATGATCCAAAGTGCATTAAGATTATCCAGCCACCGAACCCCTGACTCTTACCGAGCCCTGGTGAGTTGCGTTAACACCATCCGGCCTCCAAACCCTGACTGAAACCGAGCCCTGGTGAGCTGCTTTAAGATCATCCAGCCACCGAACCCCTGACTCATACCGAGCCTGGTGAATTGCGTTAAGCCCATCCGGCCACCAAATCCCTGACTCATACTAAGCCCTGGTGAGTTGAGTTAAGCCCATCAGGCCACTGAACTCCGAATGATACCGAGCCCTGGTGACTTGCATTCTAAAAATAAAGACAGTTATACCATTGTTGTAACAATTTAAAGCTACTGTCGAAGGGAGCTCCGTTTCCCGCTAATTGTTGGCCTCTCTTCCATCTAATCAACTCGTCATCTAAAACTTTCTTCTGAACTTCTTGTAAATCTTTCACAGTTTCCACAAAAAATTCCGCTAATTTCTAAAAAGTAAATATTTTCTATAAATCAGATATTATCATCACATTTTATATGTGCCATAGAAACTGGGTTTTTTTTTTTCAGTATTACCATGCTTTATAAATGACAATATTATTATTTTTATTATAGGGAAGAACCAGCAGCTGCCAGGCAGGATACGCCCACATTTTCGAGAGATGGATAGAGAACAAGCTAAAAAGGAAGTGATTTTTCCTACAATCAAGGGCCATAATTCAGGAAGTTACGGTCCGATATGCACGAATATCAAAAGGAACCAAGATCTTTGGGTTATAAAATTACATTTCAAGTTTCAACAAAATCGGATAAAAATTGTGACCTCTATAGGGTCCACAACTTTGATATATCATATTTTTACGCTATTTGAGAACGAACGGCGGCCATTTTGTCTGTCAATTTTGGGCCGATTTTCATGAAATTCGAACTCAGCAATCCTTAGAGTGTAACGGTGATATAATAATACGTTTTTTTAAATCAGATAAAAATCATTACCTCTATAGGGTCCACAAGCTAAAAACGCGATTTTTCGTACAATCAGGGGCCATAATTCATGAAGTTACGGTCCGATATGCGCGAATATCGAAAGGAACCGAGATCTTTGGATTATCAATATACATTTGAAGTTTCAACAAAATCGAATGAAAATTGTGACCTCTGTGGGGTCCACAAGCTAAAAACGTGATTTTTCGTACAATCAGGGGCCATAATCCATGAATTTTCGATCCGATACATGCCAATATCAAAAGCAGCCGAGATCTTTTGTAGATAAACCTATATTTCAAGTTTCGTCAAAATCGGATAAGAATTGTGACCTGTAGAGAGTCCACAAACAATTGTGGACGGACAGATGGACGGACGGGGGCGACGGCAT